CTGTAGATGTTAACAGCGAGAGTGAGCTCGACCGAGTGTACCTGGATCTCACCCCTGTCAAGTCCTTCCTCCTTGGCCCCAGTGACGGACAGGCAGAGGCCTCACTCCCAGCATTGCCACAGCTGGACGACCTAGCTGAGACCCTCACAGTAGACCCAGACCCTGGCCTCACTCCAGACGAGCCCCACACAGGGTCTCCAGAAAGCCTGGAGGAGCAGCAGGTATGAGCCGTCCCACCTATAGGTGCCCAGTCACCTCACCATGCCCCACCTCTAGGTGCCTGGCCACCGTGCCATGCCCTATGGTCATGGAGTGCAATTTCTCCTGGCACAGAGGCCGCTGGAGAGTCAGGAGTCCTCGGAGCCCTTGGAACCCGCTTTGAGAATCCCCACAGTTAAACTGCAGGCTGAGCAGCAGAGAATCTCCTTCCCAGGCAACTGCCCGGACACCATGGTTTCTGCCCCCACCAGTGCCAGCCCACCTGTGAAGGACAAGCTGAGGGGGACCAGCGCAGGTACATGGACCAGGACCAGGCTTTTAGACATGGCATTAGTCTAAAACGAAGTGAGTCTGAGTCCCTCCCTTTCGTGTGAGGAGACAGGTTAAAAGAGGTGAAGGAACCTGCCCCAGAACACAGGAAAATAAAACCGAGGGACCAACCCCATCCCTGCTGGGCTGGCATCAGCATGGGTGTTCTGCCACGCCCTAGGGTCTACCTAAGTCGAGGAAGTGAGCTTAGGTCCAGCCCTCATCCATTCCTGCTGGTACCAGCTTTTCCCTCTCTGGGTCTGTAGAGATCAAACTTGGGAAGAACCGGACTGAGGCCGAGGTGAAGCGGTACACGGAGGAGAAGGAGAGGCTGGAGAGGAAGAAAGAGGAGATCCGGGGGCACCTGGCTCAGCTCCGCAGAGACAAGCGGGAACTCAAAGAGATGCTGCTGAGATGCACAGGTAGGGGCTCTGGGTTGAGGGCCAGGGTGGAACTGGGCCCAAGACACATGGGCTTTGAGAGGGAAGGACCAGAATTTGTCCCTCTGACTTCTGGATTTCCCCCCACCCCACCCCCACCAGTTGCCTCACTCTTGGAAAGGCCGCTGGTTCTGTCTGAGGCAGTCTCTGCCCAGATTCCCGGACCAGGGTCCACAGCACCAGCAGGTAGTTAGGCTGTTTCCATGATGGATCTGAACTAGGTATGAGACTTGATGTCCCAAGTCAGTCTTGCGTTAACCACACTGCAGTGAACTTTCATCTCCAGGCTGCTGTTTTAAGTGTATAAAGTCAAGACACTTAAAGAAATCTGAAGTCTTCTAGGTGATTCTCCGAGGTCTCACATCATCCAAGGGCGGTTTCCTAGCAACCCACCTCTGAGGCCCTTGAGTTACTTGACCTGGATCTCACTGGGTATTTAAATCAGAGTTGTGCCAGCCAGCACAACTGGCTTAGCAGGTTTGGGTTCCTTGTAGCGTCTGCACTACCGTGGGCTATGGTTGGGTACATGAGCCAGGAACTAAGCTGGAGACTAAAAACACACGCACACAGACAGAGACATGGAGACACGGGTCATCCTCGAGACAAGAATGCCAACATTATTGTGCTCAGGGGCAGCTTATATAGGGCTCTGGCCACGCCCCAGCTCTCAGGATATTTCAGTCACAGGCCCACCAGAACCCACTCTCCTGCCATCCAGGTCTCGTGCTCAGAGCAGCTGCAGGCACAGGTAAACAAGTTGTTTTGCTCAGTTCACTCCAGCAGGCAAAGGGTGTGAGGCAGGCAAGGAAAGTCAAGGGGCCGGGGTCTGCAGCCCCCAGCAGTTCCTGGGAAGCTTGTGGCATGATAACTGGAGGAAGGTCTTGGGGACAGTCGCTCTGCTTTTTAGTTGTCAAGACAGAGCCCACGTGTCCAGCAGTGAACCCATTTAAAGTACACAAGACAGCGCTTCTTCATATATTCAGTTAGCGTTAGCAGCTGTATTGGTGACTTTCCCATTGCCATGGCAGCAGCTTATAAAAGAAAGCATGTATTGTGGGGGCTCATGATTCCAGAGGGGTTGAGTCCATGACTGTCATGGTGGGGCTTAGGGCAGTAGGCAGGCACGGCTGAGAGCTCACACGTTTGGACAAAACCGCACGGTTGAGGGAGCGGGCTAACCAGGAATGACATGGGCTTTTGAAAGTGACACCCCCTCCAGCAAGGCCACACCTCCTAATCCTTTGATAGCTCCCCCTGCTGGGGACCAAACATCTAGTGTATGAACCAGTGGGTGCCGTCCTCATTCAGACCACCACAGCAGCCCTCACCAGCCCCAATGAAAGCCTGTCTCTGTAAGCAGATACTTTGTTTCCCTCATCTTGGTGAGACGCCTTTTGTTTCTAGGGATCCACACTTAGATATTGTGTGGCAGGTTTCTATTGCTGTGATGTAATATCTGAAATAAACAACTTAGAGGCTGAAGGAGCTCTGTTTCTGAGTGTGGTAGAGCAGAGTCAAAAGACAGCTCTCAAAGCCGTGTCCTGAGAACCCACTGTTCCAAACAAGGCTCCACCTCCCACAGGTCTACCATCCTCCCCTCTACCACTGGATTCAACCATTGCTTGGTTTAAAAGCCCTCAGGAGCTCAGCTCTGGAAATGATTCCACAGACATCACAAGCATGCTTTACTGATATCCTGGGTGTTGTTCAGTTTGGTCAAATTACTGATCAAGATCCAGCATCATGTATATCACCAGCTCACAGCGGAAGGCTGGGACATGAGGTGACAGAGGCTCACCCATAGCAGTCCTTGGAACCCCCCAAATACACCAAGCTGGACTGTGAAGAAGGGAGGGGTCTAGGTTTCCCTGGCTCCTTGACATAGATGTTTCTTTTTCCTTATCTGGAATATCTAACTATGGTTTATTCTCCTGGCAAATAAACTCTTTGATCTTATAGTCACAGATAAGAAAGTGATTTCAAAGGATTGATGTTGGATATAAATGATATCTAGGTATGCGAATTCAGAATGCCAAAACATCACTTAACACTAGCTGATTTCCTCTGTATTTTTCTAATACGGAGCTTCTTTAGCTGTTGTCTCTCATAAAGCCTAAGAATAGCGGGTCAAGTTTCTCGTGGCTGGGAAGAGGTGCTGAGCCCTGGGCACCTCACTTGCTCTAGCAGGTAATCATTTAACTCCAGGACCAGGAGATCCCAAGGTTGGGGACCACATTCAGGCCTTGGGAAGCCGCAAGCACCAGGGGATAGAGGCAACAGTATGGGCCAGGGCAGAACATCCCAGCTGCCCTCCAAGGACCATTGGTGAAGCTGCTTCAGGCCAGAATTGAGTATGAGGACCTACCAGCAGGGAGTTGGGCTCAGACTCAGGCCTGTGGGAGCAGAGCTCCCCCTCTGGATCCCTCCAGCCTGTGAGAACCGAGTAACTCAGATCCCAGCTAGAAGGCTGTTTACTGCACACTGAAAGGCCCATTCCCACCTTTCCATGTTCAATGCAGACCTGTGGTCCGCATGAAGGGGGTGCATGTAAACCCTGACTCTGCGGTGTGGCTTCCCAGCCCTGACTGAAATACTGGCTTCTGCAGCAAGTTTCATTCTCTCTGCAGATAAGGGAGTCCTGGCCAACCTGGAGCAGAAGCTGAAGAGAGTGGATGAGGAGTGTCGGATCGAGGAGAGCAGGCTTGTGGACCTTGAGCTCAACATCATGGAGGTGAAGGACAATCTGAAGAAGGCTGAGGCTGGGCCCGTGACGTTGGGCACAGCTGTGGATACCACCCACCTGGACAATATGAGCCCTCGCGTGAGTGCTGGGCACTGCGGCTCCTGCACACAGGCAGGAGGGATGGGGTGTGTGTGTGTGTGTGTGTGTATGTGTGTGTGTATATGTAAACCTCTTGACCCAGCCCTTGTTCTCCTCTTCAGGCACAGCCCAAAGCTGCCACCGCCACCCCCACCCCAGACTCTACCCCAGTCAACTCTGCCTCCGTGCTCAAGAACAGGCCTCTTTCCATCATGGTCACAGGCAAAGGCACCGTCCTACAGAAAGCCAAGGTGAGCCCTGCCCCAATGCCCCCCCCCTGGGCCTCTTGGCAGCAGATGGGACACTGCATGGACTTTTGGCACTAGCTCTGCTCGAGAGGTGTGCTCTCAGAAAACCACCTTGGCACTGATTAACCAGCAAGGTACTTAATTCGAGTGTTCCTCCCAATGAGCCTGAGGGCTTCCCCCTCCACTCAGGAGTAGATTCCAGGGCAGGCTGTGACTGAAATGCTTTTAATCCAAAGGGTGTCTACCATCAAAACCAAAGAGCCTAGCGGCAAAAGGCATGGCTTCTTACCCAAGGACTAATCAAGAAGTCTTATTATACACACGAGTTAAGAATTAATAAGAAGCGTGCCTAGAGCTGCCTTGGCTTTGACAAACCCAGTGTGCTCTTTGTTTCTGTCCTGTATACTTGGTGAGACAGTCAGACACCCACACCAAGGGTGAACTATTAAATCCATCTAATTGCATGAGCCTCTGCCCCCTTACCATGCAGGCATCAGTAATCAATCACAGCATTTGTGTGACCCAGAGCTGCCCCACACAGGGACGAGGCTAGGCTGTACTTGTAACTGCTTTCACGCTAATAGTTTCCTTGCCTTTTCTATGTATATAAGGGTGGCTACAGAGGATAACTTTCTTTATTGGGTGCTTACGTTTGGTACTGCAGGAATGGGAGAAGAAAGGAGCCAGTTAGGAAACACAAATCAACCACCTAAAGACTCTGTCAGTATGGACCTTGGTGACAATCCTGCTTCGGTCAAGTCATCGATAAACAGCCCCTCTGAGGAAGGGTGAGTCTGTGCAGAAGAAAAAGCAAGGAATGAGGTGTCGTGCATGGAGCTTCGGTCAGAAGGAGGCACTGTCCCCTTTCCAGGCCAAAGGGAATACGGCGGCAGCAGCAGCTTCTTTGGAGACCTAAGTCTATTGGCCGTCAATGAGACATTTATATCTTTTCTTTTTTTTAAAAAAAAAAAGATTTTATTCATCAATTTGTTTTATCAAGATTTTTAAGTAGTGGAAAAAATGGCCACATGGCTTTGGTGACAAGAAAATGTTAACTGCTGACCTGTTAACTTTTATCCTGCGTTTGGCAGTGTTAAGGGTAAAATCATTCTTGGTTCCAAACGGGTGGGCCCAATGTGGCCTTTGATGATCTTAAAGAGCACTGGCCACCAGTGGCGTGAACTCTGGAGACCAGTAGCAGGGACACATTTGGGACCAAGGTAAGGCACTGACTCCACCAAGGACTTTCCTGATTCAACTGCCTTTCAAAAACAGACTCTTAAACAATGCTGTGTCGTATAGGGGAAACTCCCTGTGTTTACAGACTCCGTCCTGTGGCCAGGCCGTTTTTAAAAGTTAGTTAATCGCCTCTTCGTTCCATTTTAAAGATGTTTTTAATGTCTGGTCCCCTTGCAAGACAGAGTGGTGAGCAGTCTTTCTTGCCTGCTCAGATCGGCAGCCAGTGTTGCCCTTTTGTGGTCTGTCTCTCTGTGATGGCATTAACACAGGTTTGAAACATTTCATCTACCCCATATTTCTGGGCATTCAGAATCAGCTACCATACACTGGTTCCTGAAGGCTAAATATTTTTTATGCATATTGTCTTTCTAATCCCAGGGCATTTATTTCCTTTGTCATAAACACTTGGTGGCCTTTACCAAGTTGTTATTAGATTTTTTAAATAAAATGTTCGTTGTATTTTGGGTTTCCCTTGTATTTCATGGCATGACATGGAACAAAGGTCGTGATTATTTACACAATGAATTTAAATATAAACTGTAAAAATTGGCAGAGCCACAAGGGATAGCCTAGCAATACACTGTAAAGATCCTTAATCAAGTGCTGAGTTAATTACTGTATAATCGATAAGGTATCAAACACACAGGAAATGCCTCAGGAAGCTAATGTCATGCATACAATTGGAAACCAAACCTCTGGATGTTAAACAGGCAACTCCTGGGGAGAAGAAACATACCGATATGTAAAAAAGGCTGCCTATGCAATGATTAAGGAAATTCAGAACATAAATGTATTTACTTTCTACTTAAAAATCAGCAAGACCAAATTCTGACTTCTTGAACATGCTACCTCAACTTAAAAAAAAAATAACCTAAGCAGACAGAAAAGCCTTAAATACAGACGCCGATGAGAAGATCATGAAAGTTCAGGAAATCCAGGGGTTCCATGAAAGCTAGCTCTGCTCCGATAGGAAAATGTCTACATATGGCAAACCAGACCTTTTCCAGGGAGTCAAAAGACTGCTGCAATGATTGAAATGTAACAATATGGAACTGTTCATAGCCACAGTCTAAACGTGAAGGAAAACATGGGGATGGGGAAAGAATCACAGTGCAAACCTGGAAAGAGAAGTAGCGTCTCGGCCAGACAGACTTGACCCACAGAACCCCGACAAAGTTCTCTACACCTGTAATGGTGGGGACATCTCATAGTGGGAGCATACGTGTTGCATGTCACATCGTGACGTACCCATGCTTCCAGAGCTCTCTGGGCTTCTGCTGATAACCCAGCTCCCAACAGCACACACAAGCAGGGGAGGAACACACAGGAGCGCTGCAGAGTTAGATGCTCAAAGAGTCCTCTTGGCCACACAGATACAATTACTCCGGAAGCACCAATGACTGATCTCTCTTGAAAAGTTCCTCAACAGACTGAGCAGGAGAAGCATGTAAGACAAAGCAATCCAATAAGCTTTGAAAGCGAACCTCCTCGTTACCCCCTCACCCCTTAAAGGCCGAGTTTGTGAAGTCTGCCCTTCATTGCCACCACTAGCAAGAGGGAACCCCCATACCACTCACCTCTCTAATAAACTCTGAAAGGAAACCCCTGGAGGTCCTCCTGCGCAGCACCCAGACCAACCACACAGGGAGACCAGAGCCGTTTGTACATTATGCCCCTTCTATATACACAGACTGGTTAATTGGTCAGATTGTTGTCTGAGAACTTCATAATGTCTTTTACACATGCAGATCTGGTCACCAGAAAAAGTCACAAATGCCACACAATCCTTTTTCAAGCTAAATCCATGAGCTATCTTTGGAAAATGGAGAAGCCCAAGTTTTGTGTCAATACCATTGCTGCATGGTACACTCTGTCGGATGCCTTCCTCTGGGCACTGCAACTTTTTCAGCCTTCTGTCTAGCATTTGCGATAGTCAAAATGACTCCAAACAGGCCACCAAATTTCCCTGACCTCTTTTTTATCCTCTGGAAAAGTGACCAACAGGTACAGGACATAAATACTGACACATTAGGAGTTTCCAACATCACCGTGGTGACAGCGAAAGCTGCTCCTGTCCCAAGCAGCACGGTTCTCTGTGGCAGAGGCTTGTGGCAGGACAGCGCTGCTTAGAGCCGGAAGCAGCTGTTCCAGGACCCCAGGCAATGCACTGGGCCGTAGACAGTGTCTCTCAGATTCTGAGATGCCTGGGAGCTTGCTGGGAAGGGGCTGGCTGCTGTCTTCCTGTGGGCTCTACGTGGAAGCTATCTGCCATGGGAGCATCGCCTCTCAAGATGCCTGGGAAAGAAAGCGAATTTTGAGGGTGCTTGAGTCTTCCCCTCAGCTAGTGGCTACTTCATGTTCTTTTCACTCCACAACTCAATCCCCTGAGTGAAAGATGCCAGATCAGACCTCCATCCCACTGTCCATGCCTCTTCCGTGGCCACTGGAAGCCAGTGTGCACCGAGGGCTGAAAACCCGTATCTTGGGGTTTTCTTGATTTCTGCCTGATGTAGGACGCTCGGGTGCTGCTGTCCCCCCAGGTCTGTGATCTGGCTCTCCTTATGGCTCCTTCCCTCTCAAAGTTCCAGCACCTCCCTCCCACCCAGCAGGCTGTCCCCATATGTCACCAAACAAATGGAGATACTCAAGAATGGACAGCAGCTGCCACACTGTCTACCTGACTACATGTCTCTGGTCCCACCTCCCTGATGCTGTCCCTATGATCTGCCTTTCCCTCCCTGCTGTCATGCTGACTCCTAATGCCACCCTCCAATGTTACTGCTGTACTATACTGCTGCCTCCATGCTAGAATGGAAGCTCCATAGGGCAGATCTGTCTCAGCCATTGTCCTGTATCTCCAACCTTAGAAAAGAATGTCTGGGATGTGGAAGACCCTTCCACATGTTTCCTAGGGGAACCAGCAAATGACTGAATGGGACAGCCTGCCTTCTGCTGAGTCTATAGGATTTGGCAGGACTAAGGAGACCACCCCCATCCACGCTCGCAGAAGGGACCCACTCACGGTTCTCACAGTGGGGGCCTCCCCAGCCACCCCGGCACTCGCAGCGGTAACTGCCGTTCTTCAGGACACAGGTGCCTTCATTCATACATGGGCTGGGTTTGCAGAGGTTGACTGGCTGCTTGGCTTCTGCAAAAGAGTGTGCCCAAGCCAGGGTCAGATCCAAAGGCCCCCTTATTCTAAGCAAACACAGCTCAATCTTAAAGGCCATGGAGCTGAATTAACACCCTTGGTCCTGATGTAACAGCTTAGCACGTGATTGATGAGACTGATTCTTGGGCCCTTCAATGTATATTTACGCCTGGAACTTTGTGGGACTGAAGGATTTAACACAGAAGCCGACATACAGTAAATGAGGACTAGGAAGCTGTCTTTCTCATAACATGTGTGACAGCTCAGAGATTCCCATCTCAAGACAGTTCTAAGAGATGCGTCCCTTCTCCTACTCACCTCTACATATCCACTCAATGAGTGCGTCCTGGTGGTACCGCAGGTCTGTGTAAGCTGCCACATGGATCAGGGAGTCCCGGGGACCAGCGAGCCTCCGCACTGCCTCCCTGAGGACAGCCCCCACGCTCACAACCAAGACGGAGATGCCATTGCTTCTCAGCTTCTGGGCAGGGACAGCTGCATCTTCCGCCCCACTTCCACCCGTGATCATCACCACAGCCTTGGGGACACCAGGGCGGGCGCCCCTCTGGACGGTCATCACCTTGTCATCGATGTGCAGCAGGGCTGTGCCAGCAGATCCCACACCCCCTAGGTAGGGAGCCTGGCTCATGACCCGCAACACGGCGGCGCGGGTGGAATGGGTGTCCAGTCCGAACGCTGTCTGCACCTGGCTGCCATAGACCACCAGGCCCACCTGTGTCACATCAGGGTTCACGTCAAAACGGAGGGTGCATTTCCTGATGAACGTCTGCATCTGCGCGAAGTTCTCAGGTCCCACTGAGGCAGAGGCATCCAGCAGGAACACCAGGTCCAGTGACTGTGCTTGGCAGCCTGGAGGAGAAAGCAGAAGAGGCCTCTTGTCTGTCCTGGACCAGGTTCCAGGTCAGCCAGTGAGCTGACTGCCATGTGGTATCCACTCTCCTAGAATAGAAGTGTGAATACAGCGGCTCTCGGGTACCATTTCCAGTCTCTGTGGCCATGCAGTAGCCTCCGTCTACATGGAGCGTGATTTCCACATTTGAAACTATTGGTTCCAACGTGTGCAAATGGAAGCTGCTTGCCCCCCCCCATCTTTTTCTTCTTGCTGACTGACACGGTGACTAGCACCTCAACATGGAAGCCACAAGATGGCAAAGTCAAACCACCTGCTGGCTCAGGTCATTCACCCCTGATCTATGAAAAAAGCATATGGAGTCATCATTCTGGAGACCCTGATGGCTGCACTTCACCTGTCCCCTTTCGCCATATGCTGCCCACCATATGCAGGACTCTAATATTATATGTATTAAGTGGGCTGATACCCACCCTCTTTCTATGGCAGGTGGATGGGAAAAGAACATGAATGTGCCACACAGTCTACAGCGCGGTAGGGGAGCGGGAAAGGGCCAGAGGGAACAGCAGGACAAGGTGTGCCTTGGGCGTTCCTGGGGAGGTGAGAGCTGAAGCTGACAGGGTATTTCTAAGTGGGGAGGCACCTTCCTCCCTCTTCCAGCGTGTGGGAACTGTGGAGGCTGTAACAGCCAGACAGGAAGCTCTCGGAAGCTAGCGGAGCAGGCTCAGCTTCCTTAGAGATGCAGAGAAACATTGGGAATGCATAAATGTGGAGTCAGAGGGTCTGGCGACCTGATTTATCAGCTCTTAAGAACCACACTGGGCACAAGGAAAATACAGAAACTGCCACAATCACGGGAGCCCGAGGAGACAGGGCCACTAGCTGTCCTGCGGGGAGGGCACTGCTGGTATGTGGGGGACAAGGAGATTTCAGGTAAAAGCTGAGGAGTCTGAGCAAAGGTGAAGTGTACTGAGTAATAGTTTATCAGTCTTGGTCTGTTAACTGTAACAATGATCCATTCTAACGTGAGGGAAGGAACACAGGGACCCTCTGCAGCTGGCGCATTGCTTCTGTGTATCTGCAACTAAAATAAAGTCAAAACCATTTTGTCATAGGAGACTTGGCCTAGAGGGACAGAATGGGGCGGGGCATAGCAGTCCTCAGCACTGCTACAGAAGTGGGGACTCTGGGGACAGTAATACGGCCTGGGATGCTGAGTGCCCTGTGCAGTTTCCCCCATACTGAAGTACGCTCTTACGGAGTGTTCCAGCTCTGGTGTCTCCGGTGCTAGCCCGGCCCCTGCATGCTCATACTTACTCCTAGGGCTGCCATTCTTTCTCTCATGGTTACTCACAAAATCAGCCCTGAGAGCAATGAAACAGGAATACTACAGCACATGCCAGGTAGGCAGGGTAAGTACCACCTTAGGAAATGTTCACTTTGGTTGTGTTTGAGTGTACAACAAGCGTGTGTGTGTGTGTGTGTGTGTGTGTGTGTGTGTGTGTGTGTGTGTACGCATGCATGTCCCAAGAATGCATTTCTCTTTAATGAGCTACCAGCAGAGAGGCCAGAAAGCCACTGTTTTCATGGAGGCTTGCTAGACTCAGCACTCCTTAAGACTAATAACAATGATCAAGCTTAATTAATAGCAATACCTGTAATCAGCAGAGCACTTGCACATGCTGAGTGTGTGTGTGGCTTGTCTTATACCTAGTTCTCACAAGAAGCCCCACAGAGTGCTACACCCCGTCTCTACTGGCCGTGTGACTGATTCTAGTCCCCAGCACAGGCACTGGAGAAGAAAATGGTTAGCGGTGCTAAGAAGAAAGACGAACCTGCCTGCCGACAACCCGGCCCTAGGATAGGATGTGCAACTCTACCTGGCCGTGGCTGGCTGCACAGCCTCCTCTGCAGCTCCGGGATTTGGCTGAATAGGTCCTGAGGGTCCGTGTAGACCATCACATTCTTCGAGCTGCCCGTTATCTCCTCCAGCTCCGCCTGCACCATCTCACTGCCCACGCCCAGGAGGAGCAGCTCCCGGGCCCTTGCGTGATCTGCTGGCCCGGCCACCTCATCATGAGTGTGTGACTCAGTGAGCAGAACCACGACTCTGCGTGGCCTGTCCTGGCCTGTCCTGCTGCCACTCCCAAAGCCATGCTCCGACACCTGTAGCAAGGCACTGCCGGTCAGCGTTGGGCCGCCACGGAAAGGGATGCTGTCAAGGCGCCTGACCAGGTCTGGCACATCCTGGTACTCCCCGACAGGCACGGTCACTATCAGGTCCCTGCTGTAACTGGCCACCCCAACACGGGCACGAGAGTCCTCACTCAGCACGGCCTGCACGAAGCGCTTCACAAAAGCCTTGGCCCGCAGAAAGCCCTCCAGAGTGGTGCCTCCAGAACTGTCCAGCAGGAAGAGAATGTCGATCCGGCATTCCAGGCTCAGCTTCGGCGCTGTCAGAGTCACAGTGAGACATTCTGTCATCTAGGGCCACCGCAGTTTGCAGACCAGCCCCTACCGGAGAGGCTTCCATACCACTTCCGGTACAAGGAACCTCCCAGGAAGATGCTGGCACCTCTGGAATAAGTGTCCAGTGGTCACAGAAAGAGACAGAAGAGACAGAGGTAGAGTGCGTCTTCCTGCCTCGGCTGAGCGACGCAGTCTGATTGCTTTTTATAAAGCAAAGCACATCTACTCTCTAACTTTCCTCCCCATTGTGGTTAGCACCCTTTGAGCCCCGAGATAGCTTTGTTAGCTTTGAAGAAAATGGAAATATGCTCTTATATTTCTTCTAGAAGCTTTCCTGTTTTGCTTTTTACATGTGCAGTTGCACCCTGGACTGATTTTGAGTAGGTTTGAGGTGTGAGATTTACTTGTTCCAGATGGATCACCAATGAAGGCAATGGCAGGCACAGTTGCAAACGTTACTTAACAAGCTCTCACTGCATGCTGGGCACTGTGCTAAGCATCTTACAATATAACCTTATTTAACTGTCTGTTCCCCATCCTCCCATCTCCCCATTCCCCACCTCCATGAGCTAAGGCTTATAGAAACTTCCCCGAAAAGCCAAAAGAAGCTAGAACTCCTTATTCCTCTGTTGTAGAAGACATGAAACAAGCCACAGACATGCTCAGACTTTAGGCAGCAGCTGCTACTCGACAGCTCAGCCAGCGTGCTGCTGTCTTGGATCAACCGTGGGATGTCTGAGGCTGCGTTGTAGGACAGAACAGTGAGCTACGGGGAAAGAAGGTGGCTTGAAAATTTGAGGGTTGTTTTCCACCCAGCAGCTAGCAGGGGGGCAAGAAGGGCTACCCCAGGCCCTACCTCCCCTCAGGTAGTCGATCTTGGGAATCCCAGGCATACGTACCACAGTTGACTTCCCCTCCGAAGGCCAGTGGGCAGAGGCAGTGGTACCGGTCCACACCCTCTGGAATGCATGTGCCTCCATTTTGGCAGGGCTGGGAGTCACAGGGGCCTGTCAGAGAAATACCCATTAAAAGCCAAGAACACAGGCACAGAGTGGAAAGCATTGCCTGAAGGGTAGTCCCGGCTTTCTCCCATACCATCTGGTAGGAGGACAGCCAAGAAAGAATCAAATACCTAGAAGAAGCAGTGGATACAGTTGAAAGACCTTGGTAAGGCCCAAGACAATTCTAATCTTCTCTAGGATGAGTCTACACAGCTGTGCTCCTGCTGTGACATTAGGACATTGTCATCATCTGAGACCACTGAAAGCGCCAGCAAGGAGGTAGCGGGGGTGGGCAGGGGGTGGGCAGGGGGTCATAACAACTAAGCTCTGTTTCAGTTGAGTTTACTAAGGATATGATCTCAGTCGTATCAAGGTAGAAACAGCATGGCTGTGGGCTGATGGCCTTCCTTTGTTAAAGAGCCACCTTGGTTGCCTAAGGCTTCTACCTCCTGGGACAGAAGAGCGGTGAGCTTTCAACACACCGCAGTCAGAGTGCCCAGTGATGAATGTTGCTGCCTAAACATCTGTGGACACCTTTGTTCACCCCACAATCTTCACTGTCCTTGTACTTCTCCCCACAATGTTACCAGTGGACACACAGTACACTGACCCACGGGATGTCCTGGTGTGAAGGTGGACACACAGCACATTGGCTAAGGCAGGTAGTTCCAATGCTATCAGTCAGTCCATTCTCAGTGACAATATGCCACCAAGCAGATGAGGACTAAGGACAGCAGGACACACTCCTTGGCCACTAAATGCCCATCCCTCTTGCCCTGGAAGCCATCCAAGCCCACCTCTGCTCAGGGCTGTCAGTGTCCCTTCATAAACCAGCTTCCCAGAGAACTGGCAGGGTCCAGGAGGCACACATACCTGGACAGATGGTTCTGTAGCAGGTGCCGGGGTGTGTCTGGAACACTCTCTTCCAGCTACAACACAAGGAAATACAGCGATGGAATGACCAAAGGTTCCAGAGATCACAGCACTAAACACTCATTTCCTGCTTTGTGCACCAAGTAGGGGATGTTTCAAATGACTCAGAGTGTTTCCCTCTACCCTCAAAAAAGATATGAACTAGGCGTCACATTGAAAGTCACATTGCACGCCTTTAGTCCCAGCCCTCGGGAGACAGAGATAAATGTTATATCCACAGAGACTTGCATGTGAACTGTCCCTGTCTCCCCCAGATCTAGATACAAAACAAATACTATCTCCCCATCCAGGCTCTCCCTGGCTTCTATTTCCAATGCAAGCTCCCCTCCCCCACCCCACCCCCAACCACCAGGCTGTGTTACAGCAAGGAGCTGTGCCCTCCCTGTTTCTCAGAGCTCCATCTCTGGCCTCATCCTATGTCTCCTGCTTTTCTGCTCCAAGTTGTCCAGCACCAGGACCCAAAGTGCTGATCTCCCTGCGGTTTTAGAGCCCTCAGAATTATGGGATGGACCTTGTGCCGCGTCTCTGCCCCAGACCATGTGTACAGACCTGTAGAAGGGACAGCGTACAGCCAGCACAGCATCCGCTTGCCTTGATCCCCTCCAGCACAGGGCATGGCCAGCCAGTTCCCTGATGGTCTCCAGTGTCTTGCGCTCGCAGGGGTGAGCCTCCACCCTGCAATCTGTCAGAAGACAGTCCCCTCCCAGTAAGATGAGGGGCACTGCTTGCTCTCCAGATTGGCTGCTGTGGGGTCCTACTCTACCCTCACTGTAGAACCCGTGGCCTCTCTGGTGCAAAGCAGCGAGGGGAGGCGGTTTCAGGATTTCCTCTGACCAGGGCTCCACATGGAGTGTGAATGCAAGTACTTTCTAATGAGAGTCCCTCTAGTTCTGGGGTGGACCTCGACGGGAGATGAGCCCAAAACCTCCTGCATCCCTCCATGCAGCCAAGGAAGGGGTGTGGACTTGGGTCTTTCTCCCCAACAGGGGAGAGGGCCCAACCAAACAGACCATAAAACCAGGCCCCTCTTTCCCCATAGACTCCAGCTGGGGAAACCCACAAGGTCAGCCACAGGGAGACAGAATGCAGTCCTCAGGACAGGGCCTACCTATCTCTCTTACCAGCCCTCCCTGAGAGCCTCAGGAGCCCTGTTCCATTCATGCCCCAGTTTGTGAGGTTCAACGCCATTCCCTCGCAGGCTGGCTGGTCCTACCTGGATCAGCAGAGGTGCAGAGCGCTGAGGTGCTCAGGGTGCTGAGGAGGCCGTTGGTGGCGTCCTCCACTTGCTCAGCCAACAGCACGTGTTGCTCCTTTGGCTCACTGGCCAGAGTGAGCAGCTCCTCCCACCTGGGGGGAAAATCCAGCAGCTGATAGCGTGCCCTGCCTCACTCTGCCTCCCTAACTCCTGGACCACAGCACATCCCACTGACCCAGAGGTCACTTCATAGCAACCATCGTCCAGGTGAGATGTAAACTCAGGAGGTTCTCAAAGAAGCCGAGCAATGGGCCACCCTGTGCTAAAACACCTCATCCCCAGACCAATTGGCTCATATTCAAGACATAGTGCTAAGGGATTCAACTGACTTTTCTGAAAATCATAGCTGATAAGACAACAAAACTCTAACTCTGGGAATCCTTTTCTTTACAGGGTGACACACACAAACGGATCTATACATACATTCCTCTCTTATTTGTTTTATAAGTTATGTATTAATTGCTTAAAATAATCAGAAAGCAAATCAGAAAAAGCTTTCTTAAGTGAGAAAGAGAAAAACCAGTAAGGACAACCAATGCCAGCCGAACACTGAGGTACGACACAAGTCCCAAGGGTAGCCAAGGAAAGCCATGTGCAGCTGTGGAGGGGACACCGTGTGGAGGGGACACCGCCGCCAGTGCCCAGAGCATCTCCACACTGCCCAGGACAAAATGGTATTTGGCATGTCCCTAGGTCATGAAGAGGGGATAACACAGAGAATCTTTTTATAATAAGGCAAATGTTCGTTTTAGTTTTGTTTGCTTTAGGAGCCAGTGAGAGGCTCAGCAGGTGAGGGCACTGATGACCTGAGTTTGATCCCTGGGACCCATGTGGTGGAAGGGGAGACCTGACCTCCACAAGTGAGCCATGGCATGCCTGTGTGCCCAGTCCTGACACAGAGTTACAAATATCTTAAAAACTGGAAAATGAGCAGAAGTCTGTGATGGGAAGAGAAGAACCCCACTGTTGCAACCCAAACAGAACCAGAGTCACCACGATTCTGATTTCGCTGGGGCTAAACTCTCCATTCTTAGTTGAACCCAGGGAGGTCAGACTTTTCACACAGTACCCAGTTATTCCTCGGCACAAAGAAGTGGGGTTCTCGGATGTGGCCTTCCTGTCCCCCTTCCACTGCTCTGGCCCAACAACAGGGCTTTCTCAAAAGCTGCCCAAGGAATTCAGGTGCCAGCCAGAGTGGAGCAGCATCAGCAAGGAGGCTGGGTGAGCAGGAAAGGGGCCAGCGGTGGAGTCAGCAGGCTCTCAGGTGTCTTCCTCGGCTTCCCTCTGCTGTGTTAGGGAACGGCACACCATTCGCTCTAGGGTTCAGGCCCAAATCCTCCATTCTCCACTCCCGGCCGATCTGATTCAGTGGTCATTGCACTGCTCTGCCTCCACCAGCACACCTCAGGTCCAGCCATGCCCCTGTGCCTCGGTGTGCCCCAGGGTGCCCTGATGTGCCCCAGCAGCTTAGTCCTTTGAGCATAACCATCTCTGGTTTGAGCTGTTCCAAAGCCTCCTCCCTAGTGCCCCAGCCAGTGTGACCATCTGAAAATGCCATTTCTGTCCCCAAACTCCCAAGAGCTTTACATTCTACTCACAATAAACTCCAGCCTTCATCTCTATCCACATCAGAGCTTTAAAAACAGAATCTGTATGTTTGTGTGTGTGGTGTGTGTGTGGTATGTATGCAGTGTGTGTATGTAATATGTATAAGTGTGGTGCGGTGTGTGATTGTTGTTGTTGTTGTGTGTGTGTGTGTGTGTGTGGTGTGGGTATGTATTGTGTGTGATATGTATAAGTGTGATGTGGGGATGGGGAGGTGTGGTTAGTGTATGTGTTGGGTACGTGGGGGCTCGCGGTGTGTGCGAGTGTGTGTGTTGTGTGTGTGGTATGGCTTGTGTGTGTGTGGATGTGTGGATGTGTGTGTTGGTATGTGCACATGCAGATGTGTGTCCTGAGGCCAGAGAAAGGTCTTAGGTGTCTGGTTCTATCACTCCCCATGCGCTCTCACAGAGAGCAGCCGTCAGGGAACCTCAGCTTGTTGAGTTGGTGGTAGGCTGGTGGCCAGTAACTCTTAGGGTCTTCTGTCACTGTCCCTACAGCTCTGGGGTTACAGGTCCATGTAGCCACACCCTTTTCTTTTATTAAACACGGGTACTGAGAACCCAGACTCAGGTCCTCACCCTCGCACGCGCTCTTGTCCAGTGAGCCGTGGCCCAGCACCCATAGCAGGGTCCTCTTGACCTCCCCTGCCCGCTCGTCTGCCGCAAGTCTTGCGATTCAGCAGCTTACTTGCTTGAACTCCTGTCCACGGCTACTACCTCAGCTCTTTGCTACACCTGACTGCCTTGACTTTAAAAACATTCCTCAAAGCAGCCTAGGCAGCCTTCTCTCAGAGTGCCATCTCTGTTCCCCATCCATCCTCACCCTTGCTGCTTCTCCACTGCTTCCGCCTGAACCCACATTTCCTACGGAGCCACTCATTCCTTTATTGTCTAGTTCTTCTCCACGAGATGGGCATCCATATAGTCTCTGTTCTGAGAACCCATTCTAGCGTCAGCATGAGGAGGAACCCTAACTGAGAGAAAAGAATCATAAAACAAAAGACATTTCTGGATGTAAACATGGTGCCCAACCCAAAGTCATTTCTCCTAGAACCTAGTTAGAGCGCCAAGGATTAGATAGGTACGCGTTCATTTTTAAGGTGGAAAGCATCCGAGCATGTGGATCCCTCTTCCAGGAAGGCAGATTGGCCCAACATCTGGATGAGGGTGCTGGAGAGGGTAGTGGACTTCTCAGAGAATCCCTGCCCATTGCCAGCACCAGGTGTGGCTCAGGCTGGTCAGAACTGGACTAACAGAGCTGGAGATGGTACCCTCCCCCTCCACCCAACACTGAGATGTGACGTTGTGATCTGGCATCTGCCCATGACCCCAGCTCCTAACCCTAACCTTCCCAGGCTGAGAGGACAGTAGAGAGAGCTTGAGAGATGCGTGGTGGACGGGTGGAGCTGAGCAGCACTGAGGCTCACGGCTCTGACCCACCAGGGGGCGGCTGCCCCACATGGGGAGGCGAGGTGGTGACTCCCCTGACTTGATTTTGTCCAATGATTTTGAGTTGATTCCTGATGCTCACAACCAAATGTTCCATTAAAGGCAGAAGGAGGTGTGAAAACCCAGTGCCTTCAAAGGTTGGGATGGACCGTGCAATGCAAACCAGAACCCACAAAACAAGTCAGGGAGACAAAGACCAGTTGGCTCTTCTAGCCCTACAGTCTCGCTGTGGCTGTGAAGGTTCTGGAAGGCTTTGGTCATGTTGGCCCTACTGCGTGGGGCTGATGTGGACGGACTGAGACACTCACCTGGGGAACCGGACTCCTACGGCGAACACAATGATGCCCCTCTCTTTCAGCTGCTTAGCAGGCAGAGCCACAGGCCCCTGGGCCTTGCCATCTGTGACAATGATGAGAAGCTGGGGCACAGCACCATCCCTGCCTCCCGGGAACCCTCTGTGCAGGCTTTTCAGGGCAAGGCCTGTCTCCGTGCGCCCGCCTCTGAGGAAACACAAGGAGGAAGTGAGGGAGGGAGCTGGGGAGGAGCCCAGAGGCAAAGGGGTTCCTGTTGGGAGGAAGAGCAGAGACTCCTGGTAGAGGCTCAAAGGTGCATCTCCACCATCCAAACCAAAGAGAGACTCACAGGGCCAGCAGCTGGCCAGGACAGTTAACTCATGACAATGGATTTGAAGCTAGCGAATTGTTGGCTTACTGAGGCCAAACGTTTTAGCTGACAGGAACCTCTCCAGCATGAGCAACTGTGAAGGGGATGAAATCACTACAGTGGTTAGCCACGTGAACAGCATGGCTGAAGTATCGTTCATCACTCAGTGATATGGATGGATGGATGGTGTGCACACACATACACAATATGTATATCAGATATATACACTAGATCTGTAGACCATGTCTGTCTTCCACCCAGTCCTCTGAGAGGAGTCTGCTGCTATTCTTATGTCCAAACAGCCAACCAACTGGAAACATGGATACAGCCTGCCTGGTCTTTCGCTTGCTTGCTCTCATTGTGTGTGTGTGTGTGTGTGTGTGTGTGTGTGTGTGTGTGTGTGTGAGAGAGAGAGAGAGAGAGAGAGAGAGAGAGAGAGTTGCCTTAACACTAAAGACAGCTATGCCTTATATAGATTGTCCATGAGTCCAGTGTGTCCCCCCACCCCTAGCCACCTCTCCCAGCTGCCTCTCCTCCCAGTGGCTTGAGTCCCCCTCCCCCCCCCACTCCAGTCTGAGTCTGCTAAGTCTTCTGCGTTTAGCAGAGAGATGGAAAAAGAGTGTACATTCGGCCTGGGGAGTATTTACGGGTAACACCCAGAATGTTCTTCACTTATACTGCTTTCACCTTCTGCGGGCTCTCGATGTGCAGTTCTCCCCATGAAGTCGCATTAACAAAGCCCGGCGTGACTCTCAGATGAAGACAGTTGGTCAATAACACAACAACGACATCACCAATTTATAAATCATCTCTCTAACCATTAATCTCTGCTGTGAACTATTGTAAAAATGATGGTGTAAAAATGGAGATCAGGGAGCAGAGCATGAGACAGAACTGAAAACACCCCAGGTCCAGGTTTTTAAAAAGGTATCTGTACAAGGGGGCATCTTAGGAGTTCAGAGGAGGAATCCATGTGGGTGGAGCGGCAGCCAAGAGGCTGCGCCAAGGAAAGAGCCCCAGAACGGAGCAGCGCTAACTAGTGCAGACGGTGTCTGACTTGGGAAAGCACAAGCCAAGGTGCGCGCTGGGGCCAAGGGACATTGCTGGGCTCTGACAGTGGGTTTAACAGTGGAGCACCAGTGCCATTAAACCCCACAGCTTGTCTTAATTTCTAACTTACACAAGCTGTTTACAGTAATTCCTTTTGTGCAGCTTCACTGCGCGAATAAATGTCAGCAACACTCCCAGGATCCTGTGGTTCTCACTGCACTGGATCAAAGTCAGCTGCTAAAGACTCCAGGAGGATTTGGATTCCCATGACCGCCAGTTTACCAGAGCAGAGTTTCCTTCGGGCTGTCTCCCACATAGATGAAATTACAGTGCTAACATTCCTGTTTCTAAATGGAATTCTTACTGCTAACTAACTGTCTGTCTGTCTGTCTGTCTGTCTATCTATCTATCTATCTATCTATCTATCTATCTATCTATCTATCTATCTATCTATAGTGATGCTCTCACTGACCCCAAATCCGAGGCCAGCAAAGAGCCATGACCTCGTTTTTGTTGTCTCATAGTCAGAAGAGGATGTGGAAACACTAAACACATCCCCAAAGAAGAGCTGAACTTGTTTAGACAAAGGGGCTCCCTTCAGTCACGCCCTGCAGCCTATTCTGGGATTTTTTAAATGCCACACACATTTATTGGTGTGGCAACACATGCATGCCATGATATGTATGTGGGGGTCAGAGGACATCTTGTAGGCATTGGTTCTCTCCTTCTACCATGAGTCCCAGAACTAGACTCTGGTCCTCAGGTGTACAGCAAGTGCCGTTGTATACTGCGCCACCTCTCTGACCTGTCCTCTGGCGTTCTAAATTAACCTTTTAAAGTGTCAGGTTTTAATACATTCACTAGTGTTCAGCTGGAACTCCCAGCTGCATAATCCAGAAAGCCCTATTCCTGTCTCTCTCTCCCAACCACACCCACTCAGAAAGTCTCAAAGAAAAGCCGGGATGAAAAGTTCAGTTCTGCTTTCCTGGTGACTACTGCAACTTCCTTCCCTGTTGCCACCAGCAAGTTCCCACCCAAGCACTCAGCTTTTGACAATGCTTGGGCACAAACCCAGCGTGTGGCAGACACATCATCATCCCTTGCCTACAAGCGGTATAATCTCCCTGCTTTAGTTCAGCTATGTGGCTTCTCAGGCCTCCATCTCTGGGACTGGAGAATCCACCCAGGAGTTGCTTTGCTCAAATAAACTTGTTCTTGTACTTTGTCAGTTTGGCTTGTTTTGTCTAACTGTGTCAGAGAAGAAGCCTATTACCATGGTACAAAAGGCCTATTAACTAGTATAACCATAACACTAAGTTCAAAGCTTTTTTGTTACTCTAAAAACCCTGTATCTGTTAGTAAGCATCCTTGTTCCCTAAACCCAGGGCAATACTAATACATGCCCAGGCATATGACATTCTAGACATTTCACAAGAACAGAATGAAAGACTCAGCAAGATGGCTTCGCAGGTAAAGGTATTTGCCAGGCAAGCCTGGAGTCCCAAGTTCAAGCCCTGGATCCACATAAGTGGGAGAAGAGAACAGATGCCACATACTGTCCCGACTTCCCACACACATGCTGTGGTGCACATGCCCCTCCAATAATCAATAAAACTTATGAAAAATCAAATAAAAGACTGGGAAAATACACTGAGTGGGAAAGCATCTGCCTGGCATTTGCAGGGCCTGGGGTTTGTTCCCCAGCACTACATAAGGTAAATGAAAAGAAGCTTTGATATACAACAGTGTATATGAGTTCTGTGCAGTCATAGAGAGTACCACCATGGAAGAACAGTGTATATGAGTTCTGTGCGGTTATAGAGAGTACCACCGTGAAGAACAGTGTATATGAGTTCTGTGCGGTTATAGAGAGTACCACCGTGAAGAACAGTGTAATGGGTTTCTGTGCAGTTGTAGAGAGTACCACCGTGAAGAACAGTGTATGGGTTTCTGTGCAGCAAGCTTTCAGTTTGGTGGGTCATCTGGTTATTCTATACTCAACGTTTTGAAGAACTGTCAATTTGCTTTCAAAGTGACCAGTTGACTTTAGAAGGCTACCAGCAATGTATGAGGGTGTCCAATCATCCCACATCCTTGGCAATACTTGCTACCATCCATATTCTATTTTAGCTTTCCATGCCAACTATGATGCTAACATGGGATGTTTCCATGTACCTATTGACCATTTGCATCTTTACTGGAGAAATGGTCTATGTCTAAGGTTTCCTCTGGGGATGATGAAAATGAAATAAAAACAACAGTGTATGGTTTTGAGTTTGGTCTTACACTTTAACCATGGGGGCTCTGTGGTGCACATCATGTCAAAGGTCTTTAAGAGTGTAGTAGTCGGGAAGGGAGCAAGGATGAGTAAGTGGAAAGACTCAGTCAGGTCAGATTCTGAAGCATCATCATCTCTCCGCACCTACCACACGTTCCCGAACAGTTCTGGCCCAAGTGACTCTAAGACCCTATGTGGATAACTGCAGCTCCCTGACACTGGGCCTGGGATGTGAAACCAATTCCTGGGAGCCCCAGGGGCACAGTGTCCCATGGGTAGCTCAGTTCCTGGGAGCCCCAGGGGCACAGTGTCCCACAGAGAGCTCTTCAAAGCACTGGGGTGCCTTTTCCATTTATCCTTTTTTTTTTCTTTTGAGTATAGTCACTCCTCCTGCTTGGGGGACCCAGGGCAGAGAAAACGGCTGCTGTAGGATAATGCTCTTGTATACTAAAAAGATTTGTCACTCATATTGGTTTAATAAAATGCTCATTGGCCAGTAGCCAGGCAGGAAGTATAGGTAGGGCGACCAGACTAAGAAAATTCTGGGAAGAGAGAAGGCAAAGATGAAGTCATCCAGAAGAAGAAGCAGCAAGATGAGAATGCCTCACTGAGAAAAGGTGCCAAGCTACAGGGCTAAACACAGATAGGAATTATGGGTTAATTTAAGTTAAGAGCTAGTTAGTAATAAGCCTGAGCTAATAGGTCAAACAATTTATAATAAATGCCTCTGTGTATTTCTTTGGAACTGAATGGCTGCAGGGCTGGGTAGGACAGAAACTTCTCTCTACAAAGAACTGGATAAGAGTCTGGGATAAAGTCATGGACAATTCCTAGGAGACCCTGGGGACTGCAGAATCCAAGATCATGCTGTGCCCTGTGTGGGGCTTTAGGTGTTGAAAAATATGGGTTATCTGACAGAGGCCTTTGTCTGGAAAAGGAACCTCAGGGCTCAGAGTCTTTATAACTGAAATTGATGACTATGGATGGCTGGGATAAGAGACCTCCACAGGACGTCACTGGGCTCTAGGACAGTGGAGACCAAGGCAGACCCAGAGCTCAGAGTTGGGCAAGTCAAACTTCTTCCCTGAGGGCTGGAAACAGTGTGTATGATGTGTGTCTTCCTAAATATACATGTGTTTGCATGTATGTAGAGCACAATTACTTAGAGATTATGCACATACATACATATATAATACAAAATATATCTGTATACAGATGAGCACATGCATACATTCATGCACTGTGTATGCAGATAAGTACATGCAGGCATTTATGCACTATGCTTGCAGATGAGCACATGCATGCATTCATGCATCATGTATGCAGATGAACACATGAACGGTTCTCTACAATCTTAAAGTACCTTGATAATAGAAGGAAACTTACTCTTCAGGATTTTGTAAAAACTGAGGTTTGGAGAAGTGTGGGTAACTTTCCCAGCTGAGGGGTCTCCAGGGATAACTGAGGCTGGTTCCTCGTGTTCTTCCCATAACCTCCCAGGTCCACCCAGCAGGACCTTCATTAACCCTGTCTTCTAGTAATTCTCAGCTACATATAATAGAAAAATTTTTAACTAGTGTTCTAAATTCCCGCCTGGATGTCATCTTATACTAATGGGGTCCGCCTTGAGAGTGATCCAGCATGCACAGCTGGGCCGGGAGGAGAGCAGTACCAGACCCTTCAAGGCAGCAGTTTCAAGGGCAGCTTCTCCAGGTGTGGGGATGCATGTCTTAAATCCCAGCTCTCAGAGAGGCAGAGGCAGGCAGATCTCTGTGAGTTCAGGGAGAGTTCTGGGCTAGCCTAGACTACACAGTGAGACCCTGTTTCAAAAAGAGGGAGGGGTAAGAGGCGAGAACAGAGACAGAGACAGAGAGAGACAGAGAGAGAGAGAGAGAGAGAGAGAGAGAGAGAGAGAGAGAAGCAGGCGGCTAGCTTTACTGCCGTCACGGCACTAGCCCATTACACTTACTTGAAAACTATTCCCTTGATGTTTGCCTTCACTTCCTGTCGGGTAGAAAAGGAGTCCAAGGGGAATTCCAGATGGGGAGTGGAACCAAACTGCAAGGCTCCCACTCTGACCTGTACGAGGAGACAGGGCCAGAGGGCCCAGAGATTTCGGTCAGATCATGTGTCTCCTGGCCGCTCAGCAGACCCTGTGCGGAGCTCTGGACAGCCCCCCCTTGAGAGCTGGAGAAGCTGGAAGGACATGACAGCTAATCATCTCAGCGTCCTTGCCCCTAAAGGCAGCGCCCCCCCCATCTGGCAGCTATCCCGGCTGAACTGCCAGCAGCTTTAGGCAAGGCTCTGCTTGCATCTGCCAAATGCGTCCTGGTGTGGGTGCTGCTGTGTGCAAGTGCATGCGTTATTTCATTTGATTCACAGCGGCCCAGTCAATGCCCACATGACTGAAGGCAACAGTAAAATATACAGATGATGCTATGCAAGCAAGCAAGGCTTACTTGGACTAGCAGGGAAAGGAAACCTGGGCCTTTAATCCCCGGTCTCATGACTTTGCTAAGGTGCCGTCACACCACTTGCCTCCTTGGGAGCAGGTACAGGCTGGCAGGAAAATGCTTTCAAATCCTGCCAAATCTTCCACAGAGGCCACTGCCGAACCTAACCACAGCCACCAAACCCTTGAATACCTGCGCCTGCCAAGCCTCTAGATCAGAGAGTCAGAGGGGGACAAAACGTCCCCTAAAACGGGGACGCGCAATAGTAGAGCTGGAGGCTCTCTGCAGTGAGGGAGTGACTGAGCTGGTGGAGACCAGATTCTGCTTCCTGACTGGGGAGGCCACAGGAGAAAACCTGACATGTGCCTAACAAGACTGGAGCCAGGGCGCTGACCATCTGGAGGGATGAACATTGCAACCAGCTCCTAATCCTGGGCTCACCAGACCCCGGAAGTGCCACCTTCTCAGTAACTAGTCTCTGAACTATTCCTTACCAGGCCCAGCGCTTGGAAGACAATGAGTTAATGGCCTTGGCTGGCCTAGCTGGGCCTCCCACAGACAGGAAGCTGTTGGTAGACAGGAAGCTGAAGCAGAAAGACATTAAGTCTGGGGTGGGCACACAGGGAGTGAATGCTGCAAGTCAGAGAAGCAGGACAACTGGAGCAGTCTAGCAGAAGGCTGCCTTTCCATGGAACACAGCAAGAAGTCAAAAACACCATCCGAAGTCAGGGAAGTCTGTCTGCTCAGCGCATGACGCTGTGACAGCTGGAAAGGCGCACGGCCGTGAACTCAAGCTTCAGAGCTGAGGGTCTTACCCAGGGACACTCCAGAAGAACTCCTGGGAGAGTCCCAAAGTCTGCTGGATCTGAGTGTTTGAAAAAAACATCAGAGTAAAACACACGTTCACACGGTCAAAGGTAAAAAGGAAACAAAGGGAATTTAGGGCTCATGGAGGTAAGGGTTGATTCCTCCATGTGTAAAAGAATAATCTAGCAGAAAACTGGCCAAAGACATGAATGAAGATCAAAGAAGGAAAAACAAATGGTTCTTTAGGGGCAGGACATTTGGCCTTAGGAAAACAATGCCATTTTCCCCTCAGCTTAGCAAAACCAAAACCACCACCAACAACAAAAACCAGATGTGGCATGTGCCAAGGGAATGGTCTCTGCCATGGTGGGTAGGAGCATAAACGGGCATCTGACCTGCGGAGGGCAGTGTGCCAGTGTGTACCAAGAGCTGAAGATGCACAAGGCTGCTGGAGATGATCCGAGAGATATTCTTCACACAGCGGAATGAGCCTTTCTTTACAAGATCACAATAGATTTATAATAGCAACAGTCCATCAATAGGGGCTGGCTAATTAGTCCTGGTAAATCCTCATGGTGGGCTAATTATCTGTATTAACTATATATATACATGCATAGAGAAAGATGAGATGAGATTGCCAAGATAATACGATATAAAAAGACACGAGACAGCAACTAATGTGTAGACTGTGCTAACTTTATAGAAAAGGAGAAAATGTCATCCACATCTTCATGTTGCCTGTGCCTGCACAAAGTAGATTTGCAAGGCTGCTCAGAAGTCAGGGGTCGGTGATCAGAGCAGGTGGGGAATCGGGGTGTGTGGGTGCAGTTTTCCTTCCCTTTCTTTCACTGTCCATTTTTACTGAAGCATGAACAGGAGTTATTTGGTCAGAGGGGTGGGAAGAATTCTCTAGAGACCAGCAACTGGGTTCACTTGCTGGGTTTAAGCGGGAAGGACACAGCTTCAAATCAAAGCACACAGGAAGCAGCCCCAGTCAGAAGTTAAGGCTTTTCATTTAATTGGTGGTTTGGGAGCACAATGGCTGCCTTTTATCTTCAGTTTACTGTACACAGAAGCAAACCTCCCAGGTCTCTCTCCCTGCCCAGTCACAGGGCCATTAAAGCAGGAAGCGAGTGTCTGAGTTCCTGTTAAAAAGACTTCAAACACTTCAGCTCTACCTAAACAACCGGCCACCCATAAACAGTGTCAACACAGAGCTACTGGGAAACAATTCCTAAAACTAAAGGCACCAAAATAAGTGGCAAATGAAATATAACAAAAAGCAAAGACAGAAAACCTGAAGCCAGGCAAGCACAGGCCAGCAAGTCTTCTAGCAGAGTGCCTGTGGCCTGTGTCAGTCCGGATGCTGACTCACCCAAACAGACGCCACTTTCTCCTTCCTCGAGGCTTCTGTTTGCATGTGTGTGCATGTGTGCGCATGTGTGCACGCGTGCGCACGCGTGTGCATGCGTGTGCATGCGTGTGCATTTGCATCTGTGAGAGCATGAAGAGGCCCGAGGCCAACCTTGCGTGTTGTTTCTGTGTTCTGAAACGGGGTCTCTTCCTGGGAGCTGGGGACTAATCAGGCTAGAGTGGCTGCCCTTTCTACCTCCTCAGTACTGGGGGGACAAGTGTGTACTATTATGGCTTTTTATGTGGGTGTGGGGACAGAACTCAGGTCCTCAAGCTTGTGGAGCAAGCCCTTCTGCCTCTAGTGTCACCTGAGCTACCTCCTTCTCAGTCCCTGCTTCTCAGTCTTGCTGAGGGGAAGGCTTTCTTAGGTGAAAAACCAAGTTCCTCTCCCCGAGCAGCCATGATCTCTTAAGATGAATCACTTAAGATGGAGCCATTGTGCACTCTCTCACATAAGTGGGTCCCTCATATGCGGACACTCCCAGGTTCCTCACACTTCCCTGGCTCTGTTGCAGGCCCTGCCTAGAATTGCATCCATATTTCTACATTATGGTTTGAACGTGAAGTTCTATGTTTCAGGTTCCCATTTTGAGCACTCAGTCCTCGGCTTGTAGTGCTATTTTGAAGACTGAGCCTATAGAAGGGGGTTCTGGCTGGTGGGAGTGGGTCAGACTGGCGGGTCTCCGAGCCGTCCACCCAGCCCTGGTTTCCGCTTGCTCTCTCCCCTCCTTGGTCAGTAAACAGCCACGGGGCCTCATGCTCTCACTGCCCAGCTTTCCCCACCCCAGTGGGCTAAAATCTTCCTGAATCCATGAGCACAATAAATCTTTTCCTCCCCTTTGGTCACGAGGACAAACATAATCAATGTACACAGAGATACCAAGTCCCTCGCGCGGTAGAGATCCGCTCCTGACACCATCAGCCCAAGGTTTGCTGACTTGTTTTTATTACCGTGTTCCATGCCATTCCACGCCCCCCCCCCCCCACTACCACAGAATGTCATAGTGCTGGCGGTCAACTGGCTGTGGATAGCGGGGTATGACATGTGCGTCATTACACCACCCTGGCCCAGAGGCTGCCCACTGGGAGAGACAGATGGACCAGCTGGGCTGGTCCTGGGTTGAGTCAAGCACCTCAGCTCTTCCACACCTCACCCTGTCTGAGATTGCTCTGTGACCCATAGCCCTCGTTTAACGTCTCTGAGCCTGTTTCCCCTTCTGCAGAATATGGGGCGAAGAATGTATATCAAGTGAGTGGTGGGGGCACACGCCTTTAATTCCAGCACTTGGGAGGCAAAGGCAGGCAGATCTCTGTGTTTCTTGGCCAGCCGGCTCTACAGATCAAGTTCCAGGACAGCCAGGGTTACATAATAAAACTCTGTCTTGAAAAACAAAAACCAAAAACATTAAAAAAAAAGGGGGGGGGAGGTGCACGTCAGTACTAGTGAGCTGGCTCAGTGGGTAGAGGTGCTTGCTGGGAGCCTAATGACCTGAGCTTGACCCCAGGAAGCTTGAACCAAGGAAGGAGAAAACTGGCTCCCAAAAGCTGTCCTCTGGCCCTCACATGTATGTACACATGCCTACATATATAAACATAAAGCTGTCCTCTGATCTCACATGTGTACACATACCTATATACAGTAAACAAAGCTGTCCTCTGATCCCTCATGTGTGTACACACATCTACATAAGTAAACATAAAGCTGCCCTCTGATCCACATGTGTGTATATACACCTACATAAACAAAGCTGTCCTCTGATCCCACACGTGTGTACACACACCTACATACAGTAAACAAAGCTGTCCTCTGATCCTACATGTGTGTACATACACCTACACACAGTAAACATAAAGCTGTCCTCTGATCCCACATGTATGTACACATACCTACATATAGTAAATATATTAATCCTTATGCCACTTCCTCTAGGAGGAACTCACGGTGGAGGACCATCTTCAAAGTAGGGCCTGGTCTGGAGGAAGGTGGAGACCCAGCAGGCTGATACTACACTGATATGACATTCAGAACCTCTGGACTGCGCCTGTCTAGACTGAATGAATGCATCTCTAGCGTCAGAGACCAAGCTACTCCAGGGCAGTGTGCTCGCACCTGCAAATGACCCCCTTCTGCAGACAACCTGGCCCTCATTACAAGTCTTGTTTATTCCTAGGTCCTCCAGTTCTTACAGGATTAAGTCAGGAATGTTGCCTTGGAGAGCCACTTCCTTTCCCACCCTGTGACTAGTCTCTAATTCAAATAATAATGGCTCTCCAAAATAATTTACCCTTCCTTTTATTTCATTTTTGGTGGGTTTTAGTTGGTTCTTACCGGTTCCCTACCAATGCGTGTTCAGATTGCCTGAAATCTTTTATGGTGACAGGTGACACTGATCAGTAACTGCCTGGGTGGGAGTACTTAGGAGCAGACTGTTAGTTTGGAGGGCACAAGCCTCTGCCACTGTCCACGGACGTGAAGCAGTTGGCATTCCTATGCTTCTGGAGTGTGGGAACCTTCTCTGAAAGGCTTGCCCAGAGAGCGTGCCACCAAGTGTCCAGTGCTTCTGTCCAGCTGGGAAGTGAAAACAGCTAATGTCGGAGCCCTGCTGCTGAGTCAGGGAAGCTGGGCGACTCCACACACAGCTGAGGGCCATTTGTGGTCCTCTTAATGAGTTCATTATTCATGGTGCTGTTGGGTTGTTCAGAACGGTCCCTTTTAGAAACAAGAGTCACACTTACTCTGCGCTGCTATTTGTGACACTTGAAGCCAGGAAGGACAAGACATGAAGGCACCCTCTGGGCTTGCTCAAGTGACCAGAGAAGACAGAGCTGGACTTCACACTAAAGTTCTAACCTGCTCAGCGAGTATTCCATTTCCCAAGAAGCCAAGGATGAAAGGTTAATTGTTGAAAGACTTCCATCACCCTAAATCCACCTCAACAACAGACCACCCAGAGAGCATCCACAGACTTCATTAAGCCGCTTTGATGAACTCAGTCTCTCCATAGTTGGAAGCTAGAGCCGTGGTCTTCCCTCTCCAGCCCCGAGCCTGGATGAGGCCCTCTTCTCCAGTGCTGTGACTGGGCGGGATTATCATGGGGCTTACATCACTGGTGCCCTCCTATGAGCTCTGCCTGATCTAAGAAGAGGTGCACCTTTGCCCCCGCCTGAGGGGGGACCAGCTGGAAGGACGATGCAGAACAACCTTACTGTGTGCTGGAAAGAAGCTAACCAGCCAAAGCAAGCACAACTGAGGAAGAAGGGGTCGCTTCCTTGGCTGATCCCTGAGATCCCAGCATCAATCCCACTGTGTTTCGATTTGCCCCTTAGTCCTCTACCTCCCACAGACAATTGACTCTTTCTTCTGCTTTAAGCTGAGTCTCTGTCACTTGAAACCGCAGACACCAGACAAGACCCGCTTGCACTCACCCTCACGGGGTTGATGTCCAGAGCATCACAGATGGCCATGGCGAAGTGCTTGGATCTCTCGAAGCTCCCTTTCCCGACACTGTGAGAGCCATCTAACAGGAACAGGACGTCGACCGCTGCTGAGCACCACATCACTGGGGACAGGAGCAGATGGGGACATTAGACTAGAAGCTTCCGTGTTGTGAAGATGTTGACGTACGGGCCTACTTGTGAGCATGTCTCCAGCCATGCTACGTTGAGTGCCGTGAAGAGTCTTCTGGGTTGATCACGGTCCCAGCCTTGGGGATCATGATCTTAGCTGGGCACTCTGACATGTGAGGCTGACAGACACAAGAGTTCGGAGTACCAGCAGTGGCCATGTCTTTCTTCTGCTTCAGCACTGATTGAGGCGTGTCTTAGTTGGGGTTTTTACTGTTGTTAGAAAAACTATGACCAAAATCACTGTGGGGTCTTTATTTGACTTAGACTTCCATATCACAGTTTATCACAGAAAGCAGTCACGGCAGGACCTCAAACAGTAGGAAGCTGGAGACGGAGCTGATGCAGAGGCTATGTAGGAGTGCTATTTACTGGCTTGCTCAGCCTGCTTTCTTATACAACCCAGGATTACCACTCCAAGGGTGGCACCACCCACAATGGCCTGGACCCTCTCAAATCACTAATTAAAAAAATGCCCGACAGGCTTGCAGCCTCTACAGCCCAATATTATGGAGGTATTTTCTCAGTTGAACCCCGTCCTCCACCCAGGTGACTACAGCTTGTGTCAAGTTGACATGAACTATCCAGCACAAGATATAACTGACATGTCCACTTATTTAATCCTTCAAGCTCCCTGACCATTTCTTTGGATGCGTTCTTGAGATTTCCTATACCACTCAAGTGTACATACATAATTACCATTTTTAGCGTATGCCCCATGAATCCCACCATCACCACACTGGTGGAGGAACACTCTCGACCACCTCACCTTTTAGTTGTCATCTAGCTCTCGACTCTTTCTTGTACGTGTGTGTACATGTGGGTGTCTGTAGGTGTGCACACCTGTCTGTGCATGTCTGTGTGATACAGAGCTGATGACCCAGATGCTCTTCTATTACATTCTGGTTTGTGTGTGTGTGTGTGTGTGTGTGTTTTACAGTGTCTCTCGCTGAATTTGGAGTTCATGGACTGACGGGTGAGCCTGGAGTGTTCTCCTGTCATCTCCGCCTAGTGCTGGGGTTACAGCCCCACCACACCCAGCTTTTTGTGCGAGCACTGAGGATCCGAATGAGCACTTTCCTCACTGAGCCACCCCTCGGCCTGAGATCTGTGTTTCCACTCCCACAGGACCAATGAGGGAAGGAGGAAGAGTGGTCCAGTCACTTCCCAGTAACCGAGTACCAGGAAGCAGTGGAGCAGAGAATGAGATCCCAGTTCCCAGGAACTAGGAGGGCAGAAAGAAGGAGAAGAAACCAGGCAGGGCTTTCGGGGAAAGTCCTGGTTATATGGCAGGAAATATGGGTGGCTTGGTAGACAGCTGTCAGGTGACAGAAAAACCCTGAGACAGGCTAAGAAACTCAGCAAGGAAGATGGCTGGTGTGACGGCCAGGCTTCCGACTAAGGTCGGTCCCCAGCACCCACGTGGTAGAAGGAGAACCAGTTCCTCCTCACATCCTCTGACCGCCACCTGAACATCATTCCTGTGCACGTATGCATGTTAGTGTGCATACATACACACTAAATAAACGCATGAAAATTTAACTTGAAATTCAGAAATAAAGAGGGTTTTTTTTTGCCATTACTGCTCGCGGTTGTTACTGTTTTAACCATGGAAAGTCACTCGGGAGGAAAGATAACAGGGGCTGAGTGGGGGAAATGACCAGCCGCCCCAGTAGAGGGGCCAGGACTACAGGGGAAGCTCTCGGGAGGAGTGTGGCTTCCCTGGATCCACCGCACAGAGGTCTGACTAGCCACGTCTTTGGAGAAGCAGGTAAATGAACTTACATTTGCTGGCCACTGCAATCTTCCCAGTGGTCTCCCTGCTCACATAGACTTCTTGAAGAGAGATGGATGGGGACACTGGGAGAAAAAAAAAAAAAAAACAGAAGCAGTCACGGCACAGTAAGATGGGAGGCATCTTTATCGCTACATTACGTGACCTACGTGAACAGGAAAAAGCACCAGAGAGCTGTGGCTGTGTGTGGTTTGCAGGGTTGGGGGTGGCTCAGCGGGGGCACATGCGACCGACCATCTCTGATGGCCTGGGTTTAGTACTCAGTTCCTACCCTCAAGCCCAAGGATCATGGATACTCAGATACACGGACAACTACTGTCCTCTTTTTCAGTGGTTGCTGCCTTTTAAGCTACAGCTATCCTAGTCAGCAACTGCACCTCTGCCGCTACCAGAAGGAGCCACAGGCTGAAGAAATTCTGTTCTCAGGCACCCAGCCTTCTAAAGCTACTAAGAGAACTGATCTCTGGCCTGTGAAAGAACTCAAGATTCAAAGGTTGCAGCTCACCTCCTCACATCTCCCAAGATGTCCTCACTCTGGCTCTGGCTCCTCTTTATAAACCCTTCCCCAGCTGGCTCCTCCCTACAACTTCCTGGCAGCTAGTTGCTGGCACAGCCTCTGGACCACAGGTGAATTTACTTAATCGAACACATCTTTGCCTTGTTAAGCAAATTTTACAGAGCATAAACAAAAGTAACACACCTTAAAATAATATTCTACAGAAGATAACATTTAAAAATCTCCCCACTTCTGTGAAGAAACTTTGTTCTTTATATTTGAGTAACTTGTAGGGGGAAGTTTTCAACACCAGATGGCTATGCACAACTATGATCCTGAGGACTTCAGTCCTTGGTCATAACTGTGCCCCCTCTGGGTACAGGTCTCTGCTGTGTACCCAGGTACGTTCTTGCAAAGTTCTCCATCTGTTGCGGTGTAGTGGGGAGACCGTTGTCATAAAACTTAAAATTCGTAGAAGAGACAAATCCACAGAAAAGTACCAGGGTACATGTCCCAAAAGGGACCCAAGTGTGCACGTGTGCAAACTTAACACGGCTAAATTTAAATTTTAAATATATTTGAGAAAGGAGTCAATTGGGAGTTTTCCCACAATGGCGATGTTCTAGTTGATAGAAAGCTTTCCAAAGAACAGGTGGGCCAGGTGAACTAGGAATCACAGAAACGGTTCTCTCCTTGACCCTGCAGTGTTGGAACTGAAAAGAAATCAGGGGGAAGCGGTTGTAGTGGGAGGGAAGTGTGGGGCAAGGCCCTCTCCTTCAGCATTCCTTGTGCTAGAGAAAGGCCAAAGACAGATTACAAGCAGGTAGACATATGTGAAAAAATAGTGATATATTTACCACATAGTTAATATGATCAAGACCCAAAATGTTTGGGGGTAGCATGTTCACTGCTAAGTTTTTTGTGCCTTTTCATACCTGTTAAATAACAGATCATGAGCAGTCATGGATAATTTATAAAAACACTGGGACTGAGGGGCAGCTAAGGGGTAGAAGGCCTGTGTGCCAGCCACAAGGCTGTGAGGAAACTTCTAGCACCCAAATTTAAAGAAAAATAAAAAATGAACATTGAAGGTGGGGATAACACACCAAAGGGTCTCAGGACTGTTCTACGATGACTTGACCTGAAAGCAATGAGGGAGGATACCCAGGGAGCTTTTCCAAAAGGCCAGCTCCCTCTGTGGCTTTAAAGCATGGGTATCTAGTTGCAGAAGTGCTTAGGGAACAGAACTGCTGGAGGGACCTCCTACAACCAGTGGCCTCACACACAGACAGAGGGGACATGCCAGGGAGGCGCAGCCTTGCAGCATGCAAATTTGAAAGGCAAAAGAAGCACCTTGACAGTGAGGAGCTGCTAGGTAGAGCATGGGGGAGCCGGGTGGGGTACAGCAGCCTGGAGCCACAGGGTTTGGGACTGCCAGGAAACTGATCACAGACGGACACTCCAAGAGCATGCTGCGCCTGGAAAGGCACCAACACGGGTGTTCCTGGTCAGCCTGTTGACTCAGCAGCTGCCAGGCTGGGTCTCTTACCTTCCTGCCTCTCCCAACAGTAGGCTCGGGTGAACACTGCTCTGGTCTCTGTTGCAGCAGACAGTCCTGCCTCCCACCACTCTGCTGACCCAGCACTGAGCTCCATCGTCCCAGGCTATGGTGTCTGGGACAGGCAGCACAAGCTGCAGAGTCAGAGCGAGCACCAGGACTCGGGTGAGCCTGCCTTCAGTCTGAGGGACTCTCTAGGTGCCTTTTGCAAGTCACTTTGTGATGCCACAGAATAGGACCAGGATGGCTTGTTTAGCTGCTCCTAACTGCATCGGCAGTCTCTTCTGAATGAAGATCGCCTGCCAAGTTTCCAGAACGTACTCTCACGGTGGGTGGATGGTGCCAGTGCACGGACAACATGGACAGTCATGGATGTAACCACTCACTCATTCACTCACAGAGTCCAGGCTTGACAGAGAGCTCCTGCACAGTCCTGTCTCCTGAGAGGGAGGACCCCCAGTGACCCAGCTCGGGAGTCAGGAGACCAGGGTGTCAGTTCCACCAACATCTGTGTCACCTTGGATCCCAGGGCCTTTTGTACACAGTGCTAGACAGATGCAGCGTGCAAGTGTGCAGGACAGGGTTTCAGAAGGGAAGCACCACCTCAAGACAGAGCAGAACTCAGGCTGGGGAAGCTGACCAAGACCAGGGACTTGCTCCTCAAGATGGCTCAGTATACACTAACCCCTAGGCCATGAAGACAGCAAGCGGGATGGTATACCTCCCTGGCTTGGAGATGGGATGGAGCAGGCTGAGTGGCTTCTATCTTGAGCCTTCCTGTTCTCAGAGAATAAGCAGGAGGTGACCAAGGTTGACTCTGCAGACATCAAATGTCTGCTCCATGAAGATCAGGGATCTGTCTTCGGGGCTTCAGTCTGACACCTCAGTTTCGCAGAAGAGCACCCCAGGCTGGGCTTGCATAACTGAACCATCAGTATAACTTGTTCCTATTTCCGGGATGATCGTCTATGGACACACAGCGTCCTCCCCGCTATCTCAGGTCATCTTCAGAGAGGCTGGAGCTCAGGGGCAGTGTGGGAGGCTAAGGAAGGGACTCTGGCCTGTCAGTCTGCGCCTGAAGCACGAGGTCCTCTCTGAGAAACAGAGACAACACCGTGACGAGAGTCCACAGAGTCCTTCGCCGCTGCGGAAGCCATCAGCTTCAGAGAGCCACAGAATTAAGCTGTGTTGGGTGCTACAGGGCACGAGCCCTAGGCGGCTGAATAGGGAACAGACCTAATCTGGGAGCCCAGAGGAGCTGTGCTGGGGATAGATAGGCATTTACTCAGGCGACAGTGGCAGGATGGGTGGAGATGGGATCTGGGCAGAGTGGCCACCAGGAATCAGAACCTCTGTGAAGAGGAGATAATAAGGATGCTATGCAGGAGGAGGAGACTGGCCACAGAGGACTCACAAAGTGTCACTTAGAAGCTTAAGTAGGGCCAGATGCGACCGGATTTGTACACTGGAAAGGCTGCTGTGTGGAGAATGGTGTGGAGGGGCCATGTGGGCCCAGCGGGAGGCAACTGGAGAAGATCAAGCAGAAGACGATGGGGTCTAGGCCAGGGAGCTGCATGTGGTAGAGATGTAGATTCAGGAAACCGTAAAAGCTAAAATCAGGGCTGGGAGATGGCTCACGGGTGAGGGGCTTGCTGTGCCAGCGTGAGCACTGAGTTCGGATCTCAGCCCCCACACACAAGCTGGGCGGGGCGGCGTGTGTAAAACTCCAGCACTGGCGGTGGACGCGGGACAACCCAGGGGCTCCCTGGGCAGCTCGCCCAGCTGGGAGGGAGAGCTGTGGGCTCAGCAGAAGACCTGACCTCAAAAACTGAAGTGGGCAGTGACAGAAGACCCCTCTGGCTTTGGCATTCGCACGCACAGGCAATACCCCTCATCCTCTCCATGGACACACATATCTTTTTCAAAAATGAAATTAGTCAGTGGGATTAGAAACGAAACAACTCAAAATTTATAGCCCACCAAGACAGCTTACCTGTGTAGAAGAGGAGAATCCAGGCAGCAGGCAGACACAGAAACGGAGGCATGTTGTCAAAGCTAAAGGGGCAGGAAAAGAAATCAGACATCAGCACTGGGTTCTGTGAGGGCCCAGCACACCTCTACATCATGGAGGGAAGCCAGCAGGAATCTGGAGGCCAGGAGTCTTCCTGCCTTGCTCAGCTTCCTTCTTTATAAAATACAGGAAGGACCACCTGTCTAGGGACAGCACCACCCACAGTGGGCTGGGTCCTCCTACATCAATCATTAATCAAGAAAATGCCCCCACATACTTGCCCATGCACCAGTCTGATGGAGACACTTTCTCAATCGAGGATCCCTCTTCCCAGATGACTGTGTCACATTGACAAACACCCTGCACACTTAGTGTTGCCAGGACAAAAGCATCAGGAGAGTTCCAGGTCCATCAAGGGAGACAGTTGGCTGGGGAGGCCGTTGGCCCACTGGGGAGGGCATTGGCCCACTGGGGAGAGCTCATATGATTGCAGATCCTGGGTCTGCCAGCAAGGCAGACATGGGACTTTCCTTTCTCTCACTGCGTATTTTCCCTTCTGCCTGCACTGGATGTGGGACAGGCCCCCACCTGCCAATGGGGGAATGAGGGAGTGGAATGAAAGACAGCGTAGGACTCAGGGGAAACTTCCCTATGCTGTCCCACTCCTTGGCTTCGGTGTGGGTGGCTTTCTGGGTTTGCAGTTTCTGACCCATGGCATGTGCAGAAGCCAGGGGCTCAAGCCCGTGCACAATGTAAATGATGTTTCCAGAATCACGTTCCCAGCTTGCTGGGAGGTTAAGGGAGGTCCCTGCTTAGTTGGGCACCAGGAAACATGGGCCTCTCATTCCACACCACAGGACTAACCTAAGCAATTCATCTTGTCTATTAATGTGCCCCTGCTTGCCCAGCTGGGCGTTTTCAGCATCTTACCTTTCTGCTCATTAAAACAAAATTTATGTTGGCACTCTGCAAATGGGAACTGCATGGAAAATAGCTCCCCATAAACGTTCGTCACATGGCATCTCTCTCACCTGCCCTCATGATCACACAGATCACCCCAAAATTGTCCTGTGCCACAAGGGACGGGGTTATGGTCTCTGGAGAAGACCTGGAACCTGTACTGTCTGGTACACAGAAGAAAAGTCACATGCTCGGGTAACAAAGTGCCTTAAGGCCATCTGCAGAGGCCAGGCTGGCAGGGACCTTTCAGGACATCTCGGTGTTCACAAACTCACTGAGTTTTGTTATGCCAAGATAAGAGGATTGTTGCCGCCAGACTGGTGAGCCACTAGTTGGCATCTGCAGAGTGTCATAAGCAATCAGACTCCTCCCACCCAATCATGACAAACATTTGGCTTGTTCTAGTCTCATTACATATCAAAACATTCTTACAATATTAACTCAATGGTCAAACTTCTGCTCTATGTCAAGAAAAACATTAATGAGATGCCCTGGCTCCCTTGAACTCTTGGGCTCAAATGTGCCTCAGTCTCCTGAGTAGCTGTGACTGCAGGTTTATGTTGGTATAGACATATACATGCCATACACATGCCATGTATGTCATGAATAGCCTAGAGACATTTTTAAATAAGGATGAATTCTGCAGGAAAAATCAACAACTACCATTGCCCAGGAAGCATCCATGACAGGCTGCCACTGGGCTCCACATCCGGGTCTTCTCTAACCCTCCTGGCCAGGCCATTACATCATCCCCATTGTATCAGCACAGATCCGCATTGCAGGGCTAGCCACTGGATCACAGTTCATTCTAGCTTCCCAGGGAGTTGCTCAATCCGTCAACTTTGGGATTCTGGGGAGGACTCTAGGAGAATGCTGAGCAAGGGGTAGACATTAGGCAGGAGGCCCATCAGGGGCACTGTGGCAGGAGTCTGGGATCCAGGAAAAGGCTGTGAACTATGGGGTGAACAGGAAGACACTCCCATATCTACACATTTGACACCCTGAATCCAGTCCTTTGGCAGTGTTTAATAGCTAGTACCTGCCTTCAACTCCTATACTGGACTACGTGGTGAGATTTCCAAGGCCTTGTGCATTCCTGCTGCAAGCCAGAGGCAGGAGCCCCTCGTCAAGCCCCTTCCGTTACAGAACGCCTTGCTCACTGCCTCCTTCCTTCTTTTCCCTTACTTCTGCTCACTGCACATGTTATTCTGGGCCTCCAGGCAGCTCGCAGACGGAATCAGAGGCTGCCCCCGGATCATCCCCTCTGATTGCTACACCTCTGCAGCACCTGTGCCAGGCGAGCGAGGTCTAAGAATTGCATTTCTCAGATGCAGCCAGGAGCACAAGCCAAAGCAAGGCTGGCACCACAGGCAGCTTTGCAGAATGGTGCCCATCTTTGCCCATCATCAGATATGAAGAGTGCAGGAAATACCAGCGTGTCCTTGTAAGCCTTCCCCAATCTGCAGGATGGAAACCCGAGTTCTTTTTAATAGCCAATGTCCGAATGGAAGACTGAAATCTGAGAAAGGCGCCTGCGCAGCCAGGAAGCCCTTGCTCTCTTCTGCTGCAACAATCACCTTCCTTGTCTTTCTCATCAAATATCTTGCTCAGACCCAGAGACCTATGACAAAAGGACAACTTTTTTTTCCTAGTATGATATGCTAGAGAGCCCTTCTTGCCTCCCCTCTCTGTCTCTTTTAGACAGGGTTTTGCTATGTTGCTTAAGCGGGGCAGGAACTGCTAATCTCAAACAATCCTCTTGCCTAGTCTCCCAATTAGCTGGGACCTCAGACATGCATCACCATGCCCAGCTAGGAAAACCATTCTAAGGCTCCTAGGAGAGGTCACGCCCTCCTTAAAGAGAGCCAGCAAACCATCAGAAGCCAGGAGTTGGGGGAGTATTATTCTCAGGTGTGTGACTTATGTTTACACTGCATTTCTTTGACTCCATGAAGCTGTGTTACTGTGCCTAAACCACCTGATGGTCCTAATAAAGAGACGAACGGCCAAGAGTGAGGCAGGAGCAAGGACAGGCAGGGCTGGCAGGCAAAGAGGAAAGATAGAAGAACTCAGGGAGGAGAGAAGAGGACATTAGGGGCCAGCCACCAAGTCACGGAGAAAGAAGTAAAGAGAAATATATAGAAGTAAGAAAGATAAGAGAGAAAAGGAAGCCGGGATAATGTAAGAAAAGCTGGCAGAAACAAGACACGCTAAGGCCGGGCATTCCTAACAAGAACAAGCCTCCATGTGCAATTTGGGAGCTGGGTGAAGGGCTCCTCAAAAGAGTCTAAAATGCCAAAAGAATAAAACGCCATACAACAAGGAATGTTTCTCACAGGCAGAAACTGGCATGACGGGATGGATAAATGTTCGCTGTGACGTCACTGAAAGACAGGACATCCTGCAGAGGCTCCCATTCTCTCCACATCTACGGAGACATCTGCAGATAAAACAGCTTGAGGCTCACCTGGCTGGCATTTGAGACTGCTCTACATCGTTCAGGACTCGTGTTCTGGAGAGGTGTAAACCCAGGGGAACGTGGAGGAGGGGATAATGCACAGTCCTGAGACTGGGTTCCAGCCCAGCTCTGCTTCTGGCTGGTGGGGCTCGGAAAGCACCAGCCCTGCCTCAGGCTTCTCTCTGTGGAATGGTTAGGACCTTGCTCTTTTAACAGTGAGACAACATGAGAAAAACTTTAAGAGGAAGTTCATTAGAAAATGAACTACCTGATGGCGTTGAGACCCTGACACACAACTCAGCAATTTCGTTCAACAACATTCAGCCCTGTAGGGTCCATGTTAGCACATCCATTTTCACAGAGAAGGTAGGCCCTACGGTCAGAGAGCTAGCAAAAGCACACCTAGAGTCCAGCCCGGCCATGTCTCGCGGCCTCGCGGCCATGTCATTACAGGTGTAATATCTAGGTGGAGCAGAAGGATCCTTAGTAGGCCAACAAGAGAGACCTGAGCATGAACATTCTGGTAAATTCATTTCACCTTCTCAGCTTTCTTCTCTCTACAAAGGAGGTGATACTATCCACTCCTTTGGGAAGGTTGGCAGGATGCCATAGGACCCCAGTTCAAAGGCCCCCTTGGGCGAAGGCTACCCTTCCTAATTACAGACCAGAGGAGTCTGATGCGGGAGAATTGTTTGTATTCTGTCAATCATACTTTAATAAAACGCTGATTGGCCAGGCAGGCAGTATAGGCGGGAAAACCAGACAGGAAGTAGAGGTGATGCAATGAGAACAGGAGAATTCTGGGAAGCAGGGAGGTTCCTCTGCCATTCCTGTACAGACCACCAAAGAGGCAACATGTAAGCTGTCACACTGAGAAAGGTACTGAGCCCGTGTGGCTAACATAGATCAGAATAATGGGTTAAGATAAGTCATAAGAACTAATAAGTAGCCTGACCTAATGGGCCAATCAGTTTATAACCTTATGGAGTCTTGTGTGTGATTTTTCCTTGGGAGTTGCTGGCTGTGGGGTACTGGGAGGGACAGAAACCCCAACAAGCCAGCTGTCATGTTACAGGAGCCCTGCTAAAGAGCAGCAATTACTGACACAGAAGAACGGCCTGGCGGAAGCAACTGTAACTTAGTCAGGGGGATGCACCATTGGAGGTGGCAAGACTGCTTCTAGGCAGAACAGAAGATGAAAGGGAAAACTGAGGCAGAGACTTCAAATGTATCCAGTTGTTCTAGGAGTAGGGTCTCAGGTACCCAGACAGCAAAAGGCAGACATGCTGAACTCAGTTGTTCTAAGGAGCAGGGCATTGGGGGCCCAGATGGCAAAAAGCCTGGCCTTGTGCAGATTACACAATGGACATTCTCAAAGTCTTACTGGGAAAACGCTTTCGACTGGCAATTCTATCACGGTCCCACTGCAGAGCGACTTCACACATTTCTTCATCGGAGGAGCGGTGACTTCCTACCACATGCCCTCAAGATCGAGCCTGTTGGTGCTTATTCCAGGAAGGTCGCGGGGTGATGACACCTTCACCTGAGCTCTCCCTGGGGGCTGTATATAATCCTGCTCCTGCTGTGTGTGGCCAGCGGGGGTGCGACAGTCTGAACGTTTACTGAAGGGTGACTCTCCACACTGGGAAGCTGCTGGCGCAAGACTTTTCATTCTGTAAGCAAGTCCGACAAAGCCAAGTTGGACTTTGGGGAAATCAGACTTTGGTGTGTTGCCATTTCACTATCTGGAATGAGCTTGCTTTTGTTCCTCTCTCCCCAGGAAAAGTTCATACAGCACTTCTTGATTAGAGGGTTTTTTTGTTTTAAATTTACCGTGGAACCATACTGCACAAGTTTGTAGCCCACTGCTATGGTCCCTCCCAATAGGGAAATGGCATTTGTCCAAAGGAAATTATTAGGCATTTGCCCTGTGCCCAGGACTTTCAGGCGTTGGACAATGAAAATGCTTTGTAACTGTAGGGGACACACACAATAAGGATATGGTCAACAAAGGCTTTTTTTTTAACCAAGCGCCCGACCCCAGGGTCACCACTGCCCACTAACAATGGCCTTCTCATGAAGTTCCTTAAAAAGCCAGGGGTGGAAATTTCAGTGTGTATTAGCGACAGAAGAAGCCCGCCCGAAAGGCTGTTTACCATGATTGAACCTGTGACATCTGAGAAAGGATAAACCATGAAGCTACGTGGGGCTAGGGGAGGGGTTTTTAGGGCCGTTGAAAACATTTATCCAAATATATAGAATGGGCTACAGCAAGTGAGGTCCTGAACTAGGGAGTTTGGAGGCTCCCCCTGTGGTGGTGATGGTAGCAGGGCAGGCTGGTGGCTGGTGGCTGGGACAGGAAGTATATGCAAAGTCTTTGTACCTCTGTGCAGTTTTGCTGGGAGCTTAAAAACTCTGAAACTAACCATGGAGCTTTTCCATTCACTCAACTACAGAAACACAGACCTCTGGTTGGCTTGTTCTACAGGCTGCTGGAGGCAGGGAAGGGAAGGAGTGGTTTGACTTTCAGCCTGGCTGTGAGACCCAAATCAGATTTGATGAGAAATACTTCCTTGACTGATTTTCGGGCACAGGGGGATGATGGAGAAAAGAATCCCTCCGTGTCCTTTGAGTTTGCCTGAGAATCAAGTCCGGGAAATTCTACATCCCCAGAAGGCAGATTTGAGCTAATGTCTACAAAGAGCAGGGCCTGGGGAGTTGTGTGACAAGGGACAAGACGGTGGAGTCGGGCTGCCCAACTGCAGAGGTGCCATTCTGACTCCCCTTTGATCTGTCCTGGTTTTGTTTTTGTTTGTTTTGTTTTTTTCTGAATAAGGACATTTCTGAGCAAAACAGACCTTGAGGTTTTAGGACAGAATCTATAATCATCCAGAGCGGTCTCAGGTTTATTTAATCAAAGGAGCTTACAGTGAGAAAGCATACCACTTATTTGCTCTCCTTAGCGCCGAGTCCCCCGAGAAGTTTAGGCAGAAGTAGCAGTGTGCTATAAGCAACAGGAGCGAGGTGCCATCGTCCCTTTTCTTCCATCTGGAGCCCAGATTTTTAAATCGCAGGTTTTCAATGTGCTGAAACCCTCCCACTTTGTCTCAGTAAATCACCAAGGGCCTGGCCCAGGACAGAAGACAGAGCTGAGCCAGGTGATGTCTGATGCCAAGAACTGGAAGGAGGACAAGTCTCCCTCATTCTGCGAAAAGCATAACCCTTGACCTTCCCCTAGCTCTCAGGGCAGCAGCTTGTTTGGGAGAACGAACGAGGCTGCCTGGTTTAGAAACCCGTGAGGAAATGTAGCACCTGTGTGCTTATAATGGAGAGTGGGACACATGTTCCCAGAGTTTTTATTCAAAACTACAGCCCATTCCACGGCCGCCAGGGAAAGAGCACCCGCGATGGCGCTAGGTAGCTCGGGTTTTTCCACCCACAGCCCCCAAGCCAGCACCCCTTACCTGGTATGGCGCGGAGCGGGTACGCTCCGCGGGATGGTGACCTTCTCGGCAGGCCGCTCAGGTGCGGGCAGACAAAGCGAACAAAGCCGGTTGCGCTAGGCTCCGCGCAGCAGGTAGGGGCGGCCGGGGCAGGGCTGGGGCTCGGCTGGCTTGCAGGGGTGCACCCATCCGCCCCGCCCAGCCCGTTCGGAGGCGTGGGGCTCCCACCCGCGGAGCGCACAGCTGCTGTGCCGGCGGCTCAGGCTTGGCTCAGGCCAGGGGGCGCAGCGACTCGAAGCCACGTGGGACACCTGTTGGTTTCTCCCTCCTGAGGCGGGTCTGGCTGCTCCAGAGCAACCCGTGAGGATGGGGCAAGTGGTGTAACCGCGACCCGCCTCGCCCCTAGCCCTATGGGCAGCTTGCAACCTCAGCACTGTGAACACTTCCTTAGGGGCCACTGCGCATAGTGCATGCTGGCTACCCTGTGGGTTTGGCTTTGGTTGGCATGGGTTCTATTTGTTGTCGCTTCTGTCTTTTGCCAACCTGTTACTGCAGTTGAGTATTATCAGACTTTTTGTCCAGCACTCTCCTTTTAACTTAGGTGCCTGGTATTTAATTCCTTCTGGCAGGAATTCTGAGCAAACTCTCATTTTCATACATCAAAATTACAGTGTGCTCGTTGGAAAAAATAAAAAGTAGAAAACAAGAGAAAGCAAATTGAAAAGCCACTGATATTCAGCTATAGGCCACTGAAAAAACTGCCATTTCTTCTTACCAGACTCGTTCAGCTGATGTGATTGGCCACACCTGTGCTGAATGGCTGTGGTTTGGGCCACTACATACCTACCGTTCTAAATGTACCCATTTGCTACTGATCAATGCAAAGGTCTCAAGAGTTTTGTTTTTCTAGACAGGTTTCTCTATGCCCTGTAACTTCCTTTGTAGATCAGGCTGACCTTGAACTCTTGCTTGTGCCACCAAAGCCTGGCCATGCTCTCGGTCTTTTAATTTAAATTGATAACTGAATTTGTGTCTCGAAAAAACAAAAAGAAAAAATAGTAAATTATTTCTGGAGCAGAAGTCCAAATGGCTACACACTAGCCAGAAACCACAGTCGGGCACGTGGAGGGGAGCAGCAAGTCTCCTCCTAGAGCAGGGCTGGCGCTCTTGGAGACACTCCTTGGTCCAAGACGAGAAGCAGCACGTCTTTGAACAAGCCACAAAATGGGAGCACACAACTCAGAAGTAGGAACAAAACAGCATTTATTAGGGGAAGAGGCAGAGGTGACAGGTCTCACTAGTGGACGTCTGAATGTGCAGACAGTGCCGAGGCCCACCCATCAACTAGACACAGCCAGCGCTACGGCCCACTGATTTTCTTCTTTCACTTTCACATAGCAAGAGATATGCTGGAGCTGGGAGGGTGGCTCAGAGGTAGAGTGCTGGCCTAGTACACGGGAGGCCCCAGTGCCTACGTGCACACTCACACTCAGTGGAGAGAATACATGAACCTAGTAGAGGGTGTTTCACTCCGAGTCTTCAACTTGAGAAAGCATCAAACTGTGGTCCATGCTGGTCTTGAACTTAAGGTCTTCTTGCCTCGCTGCCCTCATGGCTGGGATTACAGGTATGCACCATCACGCCTGGCTATTATATGAATCTCTCATGTAAGATTCATGTATTTTGTGGAAAGAACTTCGGGGGGGCACCAACCCAAAAGAACAAAGTTAAGCAAGTAGAGGTGGAGAGAGCAAAGGTCACTAAAGAAAAAGAAGAAACACTTCCAGTAAACAAAACTGAAGACACTCTCAAGTCTAGCTTTTGTTTCTTCCTCCTCAGTGTTGATTTCCCAGAGATGCTGTTTCTGAAAGAAACATCGACCATCGTTATGGCTTCCATAAAAAGCACTGTGGTTCTTAAGTTTTAAGTACAAAATAACCAAACATCTTAACTGAAATTACATAAATCTAGATTATACCTGTCAGATAAAACATTAAACACAATAGTGTTTAATTTTTATTGATATTGGCATTAATCAGATATAATTACACTCTCCTTCACAAACAAAATGCAGCTACTGGAGCTTTCTCTGAATATAAAAACAAATTTTGTTACTTATCCCTTTAAAAAACATCAGCACTCCCACTTAGGAAATTTATAATTGAGTAACACCTTTTCATGTAATTGTATAATACTACTTTGTACACAGAGTCTTATTAGTCCAAGTTGCCCTAACATTCACAACCACCTTGCCTCAAATCCCAAGGCTGGCATTATAGGCAGACCCGATTCATACTTATTAAAAAACAAAACCCAGAAGTTATTAAAATCTCAAAATTTAAACATATCTCTATCTGGAGGAAGATCAATTAGGGTGAGAATAAATAGTCAATTGTATTTTCCATTAAAATGAAAAGAAAATGTGTGAGCACCTTTGTTCCTTCCTAACTCCATGCTCTGTGGATCTGGACCAACCTAGAAGGATGCTGCAGCCCAGCAAACATACAGTAGCTAGAGACAGCTTCTCACCTTTAAGATGCAGTTTGCAGTGTTTGTGTGTGTGTGTGTGTGTGTGTGTGTGTGTGTGTGTGTGTGTGTGTGTGTGTGTACACTGTGTGTGGGAAGGAAACCGGGGTCCATGCATCAGTGCACATAGCTATAGAGTTCAGTGCACAGCCTCCTGTGTCTGTCTTCAGGCTCTCGTCTACCTGTTTGACTCAGGCACTGACCAAACAGGTGAGGCTGGCAGCCACAGAGCCACAGTCATTGCCTGTCTCTGTCTCCCCCATGCTGAACTATGACAGCACCGCCTGGCCTGTTTTCTGCACTCCTGCTTTCTGTAAGGGTGCTGTGAGTGAGGACTGACTTGTGTGCGATATAAATAAGCACAGCCCAGTCTTAAGAATAAATACAAAGTGGGACCATATCCAAGTCACACCAGCACTGCTACTCCAGAAGAATCACACCCTTAGTGAACCCCAGAGAGCTACTGCATGGCCTCCAAAAGCTCAGCAAATGCTGCTCTTTAGCCAGGTAAGTAAGGAGGGCAGCTTCTTTTTTACCACAAATTCCAACTGGCTGCTGGCTGTAGAGTACTTCCTAGTGGCCCTGTTACAACAGGGGATCCAGACAGTGAGGAAAAGGTGTGCATGGGGCGGGGGGGGGGGTACTGGAAGGGCCGGAACCCATTCCCTGAGCAGTGCAGTCAGCACAGCCTGCGGCCTTGGGCCCACGCTGGAGAGTGCACCACTTCCATTCTTCTCCATCCTCATCCCAAGCTCAGAGCTAACTTACTGCAGCAGAGTCCAAGGGAGGCCTGAGGTGATTTCTAGTCTGGACTCTGAGTCTAAGCTTCAACCCACAGCTATCTTTACTAATAATGTAAATTTCCAGGAGGAAAAGGCTTCCACATGTGGGAGGCCATGACTCAAGTAGGACTACCCGAGGAGTGTTGAGCAAAGTCCTCAGAGCAGGAACATCAAAGCAGGCTAGGGCCGGGTGTCCCCAAATGCGCACGGCCTCACAAGGTGCCCAGCTCTATCTGGACAGCACACTTGCAGGCATTCCATGGGCAACCATAGAAGGGGCAGAAACATAAAACTTACTTAGCTTTTCAGCAGCTTTTTCATCTCTATAAATTTATTTTGGTTGGTTGGATTGTTTAAGAGGAAGAGAAGAATCTGTTCATGTTTTTTAATCTACAAATGAAAAGGAAACAGTTAATTTACTTTCTCACAATGTTAGGGTATAGTTCCATGGGAGGGAACTGTACCTACCTGTTTCTGTAGCTCTGTGCAGCAGCAGTCCGAGTTGCGTGTTGTTTCTAAAAGCAAGCAAACAAAGCCAGCTACTAGGTCATGTCAGTGAGGAAACCAGCATCCCCAGACCTGAGCAAGGCTGTCCCGCTGGTGTCCATGTCTGAGGTCACCCATACACAACAGGTCCCACCCACTCCTCTGCTGTGTTCTAAGACTCTCACAGACCAGCACTCCCATCTGAAGATTAGGTCTTCTATGATGTATGGGACCCCTTTTGGGTGAGGGAGGTCTGCCAAATGTACATCTCATGGGATACCAGGAAGATTCCATCTCAGAAACACAAGGAATTCTCCTGTAGATGAGGATCAAGGGGACTGGAAGAAAGGTGCAGGCACAGTACGTAACCACTCCAAAACCCTGGGTCCCGACTCCTGCAGCAATGCTGGCACTGACTGCGGGTCAGGCTCAGCTGCTGCGGGAGTGCAGAGCAGGAGCAGTGGCTGGATGGGACTGAAGCCCTAAAGAGTGAGGTGAGCAGGACAGCCCACGGCTGCATGTATTGACTGCATTTGGGACGGTACCTGCAGCTGTAGCACCTGTCCTTTTAGATGGAGTGGTCTCCGCCAGACCGCACATCAGCAGCTTCTCAGCGATGTTGACCACACCATTCTCAGAACACTTTTCAACTGACACTGTGTGGACATTCTTTGAAATTCCCTTCACAGAAAGGACCACGCTCTGATTCAGCATGGTGCTTTTCAGAAGTTCCATGGCTAACTGTGTACAGCTTTCATTCAATTCCATCAGTCCTGGAAAGATTTAAGATTGTGCTTAATAAATTAAATACCTTTCTTACAGATTGCTTTTTACATGTATAAATATTTTGCCTGCACTCATGTGCACCGTGTGTGCTGGGTGCCCAGGGAAGTCAGAAGGTGGTGTTGGCTCCCCGGAACTGTAGTTACAAATAGTTGAAAGCCACCACGTGTGTGCAGGGAACTGACCCACATCCTTTGCAAGAACAACCAGCACTCTTAACCATTGAACCATCTCTCGAGCCCCACATGTCTCTTTTAAAAGACCATATTTAGCTAAGTTATCTAATAACAGCAGAACAAGTAGCATGATTGCTGGCTTCAGCTGGTGTTAGGCATTCTGTAAGACACCAGGCACACAAAATAGACACAATCTTGCTTCCATGTTCTACTTGAAAAGGACACAACCAAGTATAGAAACCAAGCATGCTATGAGCAGTCAGTAGTCATCTGTAAGGACAGCTGTATGAAGGGCACAGTCACAGGACAGGGCCACCTTAACTGTTCCAATGAAGCAGCAGAGCACCCAGGCTCCCATAGGGACTAATGAGCCACAGAACATGCTGCTTACATCCTGCCACCAGAGCTTCACACAACAGGGCCAAACACCATCCCCAACCTTGACACTCTGAAGAAAACCCCCAACAGAAAGACAAACAGAATA